TTCCTTAAAAACAGTTTTGTAAAATATCAACCATCACTAGTAAGACAAAGAACAACACAGCAATGCTTGCACACTAATCAACATCTCTATTCAGTTCAACTTGAAATAGTACATGCCGTTTAGGGTGAAAAATATCCAGCTTTGTTAAAAAATAAAAATATCCTGGAACAACTTGAAAAATTAATGGCCTGGAACACTAGTCTGGTGCACAGCAATGGAACTGTTCCATGAAACCTGAAACTCGAGTTTCATGAAAACAATGATTGCAATACACAAGAGACACGTAGAACGCGTTTAATGAAACTCAGTTTTATAAAATCCGAAATAACAGTTTGAAGGAAACTGGTTTCATAACCACAAACTCGAGTTTCATGAAACTGATTGATTGAAATGCACAAGAAACATGCACACGGCGTTTCATGAAATGTTCCGTGCAAACCATACCTCAATGTTATTTATTAGTTCTTCCTATGGTCGTACAGCCAATCTGTGATTTGTATCGCTTTTCAGCATATGAGGTCCAACTATTTCAGCAGTTGTTCAAAAAGAGTCTTTGGCACTCTGTTAAATATTTGGAACTTTTCCTCATTTGCATTCAGTTCCTAATAGCACTGAGCTCCCGATTTTGTATTAAGGGATGAACCCAGTTATGTTGATGATGAAAGTAGACTAGGAAGATGGGGTTTATATTCCCCAAGCACTGCAGCATTCTGGCTTATTGTACTTTTCTAATTCCTTAGTTAAGTCTGTCGATTCGATCCTTCTTTCAAGGAAGGTCATTAACAATCGTCGGTACAACTCCATTCCTTGGGTTTTCTTTGTATCCCAGGTTATGTCTCCATTGAGCGGTTGCTTCGCGTTCGAAGATAATATGGGTGGCTGTTTCTTCCTCTTCATTGCATAACCTAAAGATGAGGCCATTATGGAATATGCGAATATCGTTATATATGCCCATGTTGTGTAGAGTTTTCTCAGATGCCAGTGAGAGGTAAATAGTCCTATAATTCCTCTGAATTTAGCCCTCTCGAACCGTAGCAGGGATTTTGCCCGTCCTGGTGAGAATTTTTTAGCATAAGTTTACTGTGTTTAGCGTCTCTAGACATTTCTCACTTCTTCTTTTGACTTTTTTGGATCCATTCTGTGATGGAGAATTCTGTGTTTTATTTGGCGTGCCGGAAGTGTTTAGTTTCCAATTTGATAAGCTTTTTCTAGCTCTCTATAAATATTTCCAACGGCGGTGGGTTTAGCAGTGTTTTCTGTGATTCATAGGTCTTGCCAGTGCTGGCTAATGTTTGGGTAGCTTGTTTTTGCTGAGCTTTGGTCCACCAGATTAGCCATAGGATACTTTGGGTTTTATTACCAGTACTTCCTCTTTTTTTTCTGCCACCACCAAAGAATGGTGTCAGTCTTAAAAAAGGTTCTTTGGTGTGACCCTGCCTAAGGTACTCAGATCGAAAGGTTTCTCGATGTCTGGACAAACCCATAGGGATCTTATCGTTTTCTTTGTATTTCATTTTTTTCGCGGCAGAATAACAGATGCTCAAGATTCTCCTCTACGCGACATCTTTCAAAATTAGGGGTAGCTCTCAATCCGATTTTATACAAATAGGATCCGCAGATACCATGACCGGTTCTTAGGGGTGAGATAGTTGAGAAAATTGCTTTTACCCTACCACCTTCTTGATTGAAACCATGGTTTTTTCAGAACTCTGGGAAAAAGAGTACGATAATACTTCCCTGTTGTGGCTGCTTGATGTATAGAACTATTACCCTAACCATCCCCTATTGTTGCTAAAATAATCCTGATTAGTTATTGATTTTATACATTGATTATCAGATTTACTATTGTTTATCTCTGTATTGTCTGGTGGTCTAAAGTTCAACAAATAACAAAACTAATTTGTAGTTTGTATGTTTCCGATTATTTTTGTTCTGCCTATTTGTTAGGTCTGTCAGACGCGTTTTCTGCTTTTCATTGCTTTCTCTTTTTTGGGGGGGTCAATTCAAGTTGATGTTACCCGGTAACTTAAAGCCCACGTCTACAAAGAACAAAACTTACGCAGTAGACTGTCATGGAATTCCTTAACACAACCCCGCAGAACAAGAACTGTGCCATCTTCATTGGTTGGCTTGTGTGATTTTCCTGCCAAATAACTCTCTTATCCATAGCCCCGACTTGGTTCCTTCAGTTATCAGCTTATTTCTTATCTTCGAAGCCAAAAATTGAAGAAGCAAAGACTCAGGGAAGGGTAACCAATATACTAGATAGCGAAACCCTTAAAAAATAACAATAAAAAAGGCCCTGTTTATCAAGTTTTTAAAAAAGGAGTAACAGTACTGCTAGCTTTCACAAACAGTGCCAATACTGGCAACGTTTGTATTGTCAGATTTATTGTTGACACATTAGTGTAAACATGTTGGTTCTAAAAAAAAGCTGTCTCAAGCTCGAACATTTTTGCTTAACAAACCGTGACCATATGCTCAGTGACCGTTTAAAATTATAGATTGCGAAACTAGAAATTGTCTGTTTGTTTTAATTCAGCTAGGAAGGACGACCTCCGTATACACTATACAGTCTCCTGCCCTAATCCGAACTTAAGTATTCCGAATATTCCGGTATTCCGAATTTGGAAAAAATTCAAGTCAGAATTTTTAGAGGAAAAATGAAACATTATTTGGGGAGGGAAGAGAGAATGAGTGAGTGAGTGATAGAGAACGAAAGAGAGAGTGAGTGAATGAGTTTTGTTCTCCAAAACAGTACCCCTGCCATTGAGCCTTGTGTTTTCCCCCTGTTCCCCGATAAGGATTACAGATGTTTGTATATATGTAATTCAATAATTAGTATAAACATTTACATAATGATAATAAATAGGGAAATACTTACAATTTCGATAGATTCAAACTATGTATTGATAAATGTTAAAAAGTGAATATAATATGAATTGATGATGTCTTTTTCTTCCAATGGCCATGTTTCTCTTCTTGATTATTGATTATTCTCGTTTATTCTTTTGCTGCGCTTTTTCCTAATTGGTCTGCTTCCGCGTTTCCATTTAATCCGGCGTGGGCTTTATCCCACATACAGTTTTTCTACTTTCTTGAGGTTCGCAAGCATCTTCTAACTTCTTCAATCATTGGTTTGCGGTTTTTATGGCCTTGTATCATTAACAAGGGAACTTAACTGTACTTATTTATTCAAATAGATTACAGCTTCTCTGTTCTATCAACAATTGTAGTATATTATTTATGGCCAAGAGCTCGTCTGGGTTGTTTGAACACCAAGGCTTCAATTTATATTGTAGAATTTTCGTATAATTCGTTTTTATATTGTAGAATTAGAAAGTATTCTTCTTTATACAACACGGCTTCTCATCCTACGCGCGCGTTGTGTGTGTGTGTGGATGAGAGAAAGAGAGAGTAGACGGAAAAAGAGAGAATGGAAGAGGGAGGGAGAGAGAGAGAAAGTGAGTGAATGGGTGGGTGAGAGAAAGTAAATCAGAGTGAGAAAGAGAATGAGTGAATGAGAGATAGAGAGGGAGAGAGTGAGAAAGAGAGAGTGAGGATGAGAGAGAGAGAGAGAGAGAGAGAAAGAGTAGAGGGAAAAAGAAAAATGGAAGAGAGAGAGAGAGTACAGGGTAAAACAAAAAATGGAAGTGAGAGAGAGAGAAAGTAAGTGAATGGGTGAGTGAATGAGAAAGATAGGGATGGAGAGAATGGAAGAGAGAAAGAGAAAGTAAGTGAATGTGAGAGTGAGACAGAATGAGTGAATGTGATAGATAGAGAGGGAGAGAATGAATTGGAGGGGGAGAAAGAGAGAGATAGTAAATTAGAATGAGAGAGAGAGAATGGGTGAATGAGAGAGATAGAGAGGGAGAGAATGAATTGGAGGGGGAGAGAGAGAGAGAGAGATAGAGAGAATAGACAATGGAAGAGAGAGAGAAAGTGAGTGAATAGGTGAGTGAGAGATAGTAAATTAGAATGAGAGAGAGAGAGAGAATGGGTGAATGAGAGAGATAGAGAGGGAAAGAGTGAGAGAGAAAGTGTACGGATGAGAGAGAGAGGGAGAGAGAGAGAGAGAGAGAGAGAGAGACTAGAGGGAACAAGAGAGATTGGAAGAAAGTGAGTAAATGGGTGAGTGAGAGAGAGAATGAGTGAATGAGAGAGATAGAAAGGGAGAGAGTGGATGAGAGAGAGAGAGAGAGAGAGAGAGATAAAGTAGAGATAATGTAAGAGAGTGAGAGAGAGAGAATGAGAGAGATAGAGAGGGAGAGAGTGAATCAGAGAGAGAAATCAAAAGAGAGAGAGAGAAATGAGTGAATGGGTGAGTGAGAGAGAGTAAATCAGAGTGAGAGAAAGAATGAGTGAATGAGAGAGATAGAGAGGGAGAGAGTGAGTGAGTGAATCAGAGTGTGTGAGAGAGAGAGAGAGGGAGAGAGAGTAAGTAAGTGTGAGTTAGTTTGTGGGACAGAGAGTAAGTTAGAGTGAAAGAGATTGTGAGTGAGTGAGTGAGAGAGAGAGAATGAATGAATGAATGAGAGAGTAGAGAGGGAGAGAGAGAAGACGGGAGAAGACTCGCTCATTCTGCAACACAGTTCGTATCTTTGAGAGTGTAGGAAGTGACGGAAAGGATCTACAAACTGTACGTTTTAGCCTATTCTGGCTTATAAAAAAATTTGTCATAAAGGATAAATTCCTTTACGAATTAAAAAATACAAGAATAGAACATTAGGCCAAATTAGGTGAAGTTGTGTAAAACAAAAAGATATATAACGAAAAAATTAAAATCGGACGAGATTGGAAAGAACATTTTATTAAAATTTTATTAATTAAAATTGTAAACTATATATTCAACCATTTTCAATCGTGTTTTCCAAATCAAGTCCAGTAGTGTAATTAAATAAATCTCCGCGTGTTAAGTTATCTGTTGGTATGTTCTGTTTATGTATTGCAGTTGTCTTATTTGCTATTTGTATCGTGCACAGAAAATATAAATACAAGTCGTTTTAATCCTTTAAGCCAAGGTGTAAAAGTGTTTACATATGTACAATTTTGTCTCCTCCTGTTAAATTTCTTACAATCGCTCTTCTCAACGACTATAAATGGCGACCTAAACGCAATGAATTTGCGATGAAACTTGCGATTTGGCTTTTACTATTTTCTTTAAGTGGAGATTGTTTCTTTTTGCCGTACTCACCGTGTCCAGAATTATTTCGTTACCACTCCGAGTCGAACATTTGGACTGGCAGGCTAAGAGTAAACATAACGAATTTACAATTTCCAATTGTCGTCAAATTGGAGTTAGGGTTGAAAGCAGTTTTAAAAACAGTAAGTATTATCTTCAATTTAGACATAATTCAATTTTTGGAATTATTCTTTGTCGTTAATTTAATTAATATATTTCAAACGGTGTAATTCTATTTTGGCTTAATAGGCCTGTTCAAATAGGATATGCAAACAAATGAAATGACAAAAAAATTCGTACTTTTTTTGTCATAATTTTCATTGTTGGATTATAAAGTAAAATGTAAAATGATTTTTTTTTAATGTATTTATTTAAACGGGCAGATGCCCAAAATATTACAATATACAAGACATTTTTCAATAAAAAACACAAATTTGTTCATATGAAAAAAAAAATAGATAGTAAAGAAGTAAAATTAGTTGAGAAAGTAAATTGCACAATTGTAAAAGATTAAACAAACAATTTTTTATTTACAGTTAGTAAACAGTAAACAATTTATTTAAAGAATATAAAAATAAAAATAAAATTTAATTGATTATAATTGTACAATAAGCAATCAGAACAAATCTTTATTGGGAGGCTAAAGCCGGGACATAACCACCCTGATGCTAAAAATGTAATAAAAAACATTATTAAAAGAAGGTAGCAGCATCGAAGGGTTGGGTCGGCAGAGAAGCTCTCATGGGTCAACACTGTCAATAAGTGGCCGTGGAGGATCTGATTCGTAGAAGAAACATCCTTACCTACAATTACGAATGCTAGGTTGACCCACAGACAATTAATTTTGGGTCAACGCCTGCGTATGTGTCCACATACGGACCTTATTCAGCATGAACAGGTTGCTCGATGTGTCCCACCTAGTTCAAGGGTGCAACTCCTTGTAACTAAGTAGAAAGCATGTAGGAATGCCATACGGAGAATCTTGGTTGTGCACGGCAGCAGGTATTTGGGTCACCTGTTTCGTTTCTTGGAGGAAACCCGGTTGTTTTATTGTATATAGTATTGATAGTTTTGTGTCCCCTAGTAAGTGTTGAAAGTGATTGTATTTATTAGCGTGAATGTGTAATGTAAGAGGGTTGATGGCAGATTATCAAGTACCCCATCGACCCCCAATTAGGATGGAAGAATATCGAGCACTCCACCACTCTAATTGAAAAAATTTATTCAAGAATGAGTGAGAGTTTTGATTTAGGAACTGCATGCATTAGTTGGCAGCCCCTGGAGCCCAACCTCGGTGGTTGGATGGAAAAGACCAAGGCCTGTTACTCGGACTGCCAACAGGAGGTGGGTGATTCTCAAGGCATGCCAATAATTTATTGTAAATTACAAAAGCTGGAATTGCCGGTTCACTGCAAGGAGTGATAGGCTAAACTCTGTTCATGTATATAAGTGCATACATGTGCAGATTTGAGCAATTATTCAATTAGAAAAATTATCAATCGATTAGCATAAGCAGTAATAAAATTAAAACTTCCAATTATAATAAAAAGACAGTAGTAAAATTCTAATTATTTTGAATAACTGAAAATATGATCTAATTGGTTTGTGAAGAACTATTACAGATTAGTGGAAACTTCTAAATAAAGTAAGCCATTTTCTGGAGTCGGTTGACACCAGAATCAGAAAATAATGAGAAATGAGGAAAATGAAAGAAAGCCCTTGATTATGGTGTTGAATTCAAAAATCTACACGAGAAAATAATAATGGACTGTCGATTCTTTATTTTTTATTAATTTATAAATAAACACAAAATCAAAATAAACACGAAAAGATTCTAATGAAGATAAGTGAGTAGTAGATTAGAGAGTCATGAGAACTATAAGAAATATTTAATTTGAAGGAGTTGAATTTAAAGAATTTATTTTGAACTTGTTTTAAAAAATGTTTCTGAGAGAGAAGATAGGAGGCCAGACAGGAGAAGAGAATTCAAGATTAGATTGGATAAGGGAGCAATAGTGTTGTTTAAAGCCTTTAAAATTCTTTATTACTATAATTGTGATATACTATACTATAATCTGAGAAAGACTTTTGTAAGATAATTATTCTTGAGCACTCAAAAATTCATGATAAATTTAAAGATCATATGCAAAAAGAAGAAAGTTAACAGAAGAAGTGGAAGAATCATTAATAAATAAAAGAAACAAAAGCGGTCCTTAATGAGAACCCTGTGAGATGCCAGAACAAGCATTCATTCAAAAGAAAGGGAAGAATGAATTTTAACAATTTGAAACCTATGTTTAAGACAATATTTATTTAGAAATCGTGAGATGCAGTCTGGTGGGATGTAGGTTTCAGAAAAACATTTTCTTTATCGTGCCACCTACATCACACCAGACCGCATCTCACGATTTGTAAATAAATATCGATTAACTGTCACTAATCGCCACACGTTTAAGACAATTTTGAAACCGTGAAAGAAGAACAGATATCCCATTTTGGTGAATTTTATGTAAAAGAAGGTCAATATTTATGGAATCAAAAACTTTTGATTCATCTAGATAATTGACATCAGTTGACGTTTTGATTGAAATGATGATAGAGTGTTTCAAAGTAAATTAGCGGGAGTTGAGTGTTTAGGCATAAAGCCATGTTTGGGAATTATAGCAGAATGCAATAAGGCTTTGAAATATTCTGGGGATAACAGAAAGAGTACTAATAGGGCGATACTTTTTCATGACTTCAGTCACCAGAATTATAAATAAGAAGAATGTAGCTACCATAAGTTTGGTAATTGTCCTGTAGGCAGGGATTGATTCAATATGTAGGGAAAGGCCAAGAGCACTAAACAGTTTTGAAGAAGTATTGCTGGAATGGGATCAGGACCCACTGGACAAAGAGGTTTTAAGGAAATTATTTTCGAAAAACAACTAACTGCATCATAAGGAATAGAAACAACAGAAATAGGATTTGAGGAAGAAATGCTGAATTGGAACCCAAAAGACTTCATCATGATGCATACTTTGATTAATATAAGGATTAGATTTTTAATTTATTTTTTCATAACTCCATAAAATTTTTGAATTTGTTATAACAGATGACTTAACAGATTGTGTTCCAGATAGTAATATTTTAATGAATTTTTAATTTTGTACTGTTTATGCCCATATTTCTTTTTACTAATTAGAAATTAATTTTTTACTAAACCAGTTATGATGTCTCGTATGGTAACATTTGAAGATGGTGCATATAATTGTAAAGCATCATTTAGAATGGAGTAAAAAAGTTTAATATTATCTTTTAATCGTTATTGCAAAATAGAAGTCTTTGTATCATAACAAATGTAGATTTTTTATTGTTAAATTTTTGCCTACATTACAAAATTTATAAATATTATGTATTCAAAAATTAATTATGAGATGTTATCTATTTGTAACTAGGTTTTCAAGTATAAATAATAAATAAACTAACATTTGTTAGGAGACAAAACACATGCACACACACACACACACACACACATTATATACATTTACATACATTACATTACATACATTACATTACATACATTACATTACATACATTACATTACATATATTACATATATACATTTACCTTCAATAAATATTGTTCAATGTTATGCTTATTTATTTTTTGTTCAATAGACAGTTTGCTACAAAATTCAGTTATCATTAATTATGTTAAGTACTAAAGTAAGTTGAATGATACCAAATCCATTCTAATAATAATTTTCACTGTTTGGTAGGAAATTGTCTTAAATTGTTAATATTAAGTTAAAACAAAAATTTTTATAATTACATTTCATATCTTAAAAAGTGAATAAACGAGAACCAATTGAAGTGATTGATCTTTGTGTTTTGTTGTAGAAATATGTCGGCTTGATTGAACTATCTGAACCAGCTGAAATCGTCATAGAAAAAATAATTCACAGAGGCGTCAGGGAAATTCAGTACATTATTAGATTCCCATTGCCTTTTCCACTACCCATTTTGAAAGGGATTTATTTACAACATAAATTGGTTTGCAGTGGTATTCAAGGTAATTTCTATGTTATTTATTTCTTTTTTTGCTGTTTGACAGTTGTATATCAAATTTATTGTTCGGGTTCTTTGCTAGGAATTATTTTATATAAGTATTGTTTAATAATTTTTCTGTTTTGATTATATACTGCCAGTTTAGTCAAGGCAATTCTATTATTGAAAAGGATAGAAATCCATATCACGCCAAAACCAGTTTATGAGGAAAACCCATTCTTTTTAATTATCTAATTGATATACGTACTCACTCCATCATAACCATTTTTTATTTATACAATTCTATGTTTAAAATGAAGTTTGGTTAGCTTGTCTACAAGGAAGTGAACTTTTCTCATCAGTTTGGTAGACATTGGGCAGTTGAAATAGACCTGTCCGTTTTAACAAATTCCTTTTTCTTTCTATTTGCTAGATTCATTTATGAGTGGGTGGCACTTATGATTGGGACTTTCAACATACTCTGGATTGGTTATGAATTTAACCCAATAGGTGTTACTTAAAAATATAAAGTATAAGAGTCTAATAACCAGCCTGGAAAACAATAAATGATTTAATAAATTTAAAAGGCAAATTTAAGATCTAACCCACTCTGGAACCTGAAGTTAATACAAGTTTATGATTGCGTATAGGGAGCCTCCTCATGCATGCTTTTTTTCAGGTGTGATTGTATTTATTAAAAAAAAAAAAAGACAATAATAATAAAATATTATGGCCGCAACAGTTAAGGCATTGGCATGATGCTCATCACTGTAAGGTAAAGGTCCCAAGTTCGAATCCATCCTGCATTCGAATCTGACATACTTACAAATGGGCTTTTTTTTCTTCAAAAAACCGGCACCCCAAGGGTTGATATGAATTAATGAATATGAATTTAAAAAATAAATAAATAAAATATAAATTTAAAAATTAAATAAAAAATAAACAAAAATAAATAAATACTAATGATATCAGTAAATATCAAAACAAAAAGTTCTACCATTAAGTAATATAATTCTTGTCCTACAGGGAGGTTTGTTAAGCCAACTACAAAGCAGGTATCGTGGACAAAGGGTCAGAACCACTTTATTTCCAAATTCATCTCAAATAAAATACCAATAATTCAAGCAGTCAAACCTAGAATAAACAACCTAGCAAATACAAATCAGCCACTGCAGTCCCTCAGTTCTGCCATTAAACTAACTAAAACAAAAGTAATAAAATTAAAGTCTATCATAACATTTGTAATTGTTAATTTTTGCAGAGCCAGAGTTTTTCCATTGTTAGTTGTAATTCTGTGTTATTCCACCAACACTCTCCTCAATTTATAGAATTACAGCATGAGTTCATCTTCTTGCAGAAATAACGCCTAAATAATTTGTTAAATTTGTATATAAATGATGATCAATAATTTAATATTCACATTAACATAATCTTTATAAAATTTGTATATAGATAACCAAAAATTTATTAATTTTGTTTCAGTTGTTGGTGATGTGGTTACCAACATCTACCTAGTGCACAAGTTCCCGACTAATCCTCGTTTGCGTAATTATAAACTAAGTACCACCCCGGGTAAATCATTTTTTCTATCCACATAATTTAAATAACACTAGCAACACCCTGTTAAGAATGTAACTGTTTAAAGCTGTTTTCAGGTGAGATCTGTGGGAAAAGATCTTCTCATGTAAGGAACAGGGTTAAAACATTAAGCAGTTCAGAGGAATGGCCGTGGTTAGCTGCAATTCTTATAAAAAGTAAAAATTACGCCTATGGCCTTAAGTTTCATTGCAGCGGAAATTTAATATCAAATATTCACCTAATTACAGGTTTGCAATTTTTGTAGGGATAGGAATAAATAAGCTGGAGATATTTTTTAGTATATATATATTTTTTTTAATCTAAAATAAATCTAAGATTAGAATTTGTATTACTTTTTTTTCTAGTTCGGAATTAGAATTTAAATAATATTGAATATTGATTAATATTTATATTTTTATTACACAAATATAAGAGAAAATATAGTTTTATATCTAATACATTACATTCTATCCAATAAATTATATTTAAACAAGGTGTAATTTTATATTTATTTTAATTTATAGCAGGGCATTGCATTAAAACTCATAAAGAACAATTTGAAGTGGATGATTTCATAACGTATTTTGGTAAACACAATTTGCTGAAGTGGGGAGAACCAAATTCACAAATAAGGCATGTGAGTAATTGAGAAACTTTTTACATATTGACGTTATATTAATATTATTGTATTATAATAATGATGTAATGTCCTGTAACATATTATGGACTGATTACGTGACTTTACATATGTTCATTCACATGTGTAAATAAGACGCAGAACTGCTCTGACCAACAAGCCTGATTTCAAGATTTGTTGGCATTATTTGCAAGTAATTCTGTCAGGAAAACTGGTGTATTCAATTTTTAGTAGTACCTGGTGGGGCAATAAAAAAGTAACCAAGGTCTTCATGTTTCAAAACAACGTTCGTTAATTGCTTAAAATCCACAAAGGAGGGAGGTATCTAAGCCAAAGCCAGGCACTCTCCATCCAAAGCTGCTCTCTCTACAAAACTCTAGAAATAAAAATCTAAAAAAGTCCACTCTTTTTAAATTTTTGCTACCGGTAACTCTAAAGTCCAATCCCTAACTCACTAATAGCCACTGACCAGTGACTAACTCTAAACTGTAACTAACTCATGACCAACACTGACCAGTGTCTCTAAACTCCACTCAGCTATTGACTTACTGTGACTACACTCCTTTTGGTAGCACCAAACTTTTGCGAACCTCCCGAAAGGGGTCTATGTGGAACTTTTTTCCTTCTGGCTTCATCATTTTGCATTTCTTGAGCTTTTCTTTGGAGGGAATTCTCAAGCATACAAAAAAGATACAAAATGTGTTGTTTTGACTTTTATCATCATGATAATTATTTGATACAGTTTTTTATTTTCTCATGAGGGTATGCGTTAAAAAAATTGTAAGTAAATTGGGTTCGAATCCAGCGCTTCAGCATTCAAACCTGGAACCATGTCAATGCCCGTCAATTCCAGTAAATGTAATAAATTGTGAGATTTTGTGTTGTCTACGGGGTGATCAACCTGAAATTTGGTCGTTATCGTTCATTGCGATCTGCCTGTCCTCGCTGGGCTGATCTGCCAAACGAGTGTGGCCTATTTAGCTTTCAATCAATAAGGGTCATTTAGGCCGGTTTCTTGATAAATGTTGCTGTTGAATATGGGCATATGGAGAAGGAAAGGAAGAGCCTGCCAGGAACGACACATCCCACGGGCCTACCAGCCTAAGACGGATATGCAAGCATTCATCTTTTTGACTCCTCTATTATGATTAGGGGCACTTTTTGTGGAATGGATTTACATCTCACATATTGCATTATGGAAAAACTCCTCCCTCATCAAAACCAATTCTACATGACTATATTTCTTTTATAAGCTCCATTCATTCTAAGAATTTCAAAAGGACAACAAGGATATTGCCCAGCATCTTATTCAAAGACTCTGACAGTTGGAACTCTGATCTTGTCATGGTATAGCAATAAAATATGCAATACCATATGTTTCACAGCATATTAGCAGCCCCTCATTACACACCTGGAGGGATTCCCTGGTCATGAGATGGCCATGTGTCAGTCTTGTATGTCTGAGGAGCCTACAGAGAGCTGTTTTTTATTTCCTATTCATATAGTACAATGATACCCATTTCCGAATTATATCTTTTATTTCCCGTAATTTATTGTCACTTTATCCCATTTACGTTACCATTGAAATTTGTCTTTGTCATGTAATCATTTATAGGGATTTCTTTTAATACTGTTCCAGTGCTAGATGGTTCTTTGGCAGCCAGGTCGGTGTTCTCATTTTCAGGCGCTGCACAGTGCCCAGGACCCATTTCTTTAAAAATTTTTAATTTATTTGTTCTGTTAAGTAATTCAGTGTGTACTCGGGGGTACATACTTATCTGGTTTAAGAATCTGACCAATTGTTTTAATCATAACAATTGGCAATATGAGAAAGACTTTCAATAAGCTTAACATTTAGACAATAACTTGTTAAGGTGGAATTAAATTGATTTAAATATTTGACAAATGTATAAATTTAAAAAGATATATGTGTATATATGAATTATATTTTAGGTATCTAATATTTATTTACATCCAGATTTCCAAATTGAACATTATGAAGCAGATTTAGCAATAGTGCAGTTATCGACTGCAGTGATATTCAACCAATTTGTAACTCCTGTTTGCTTATGGCCTGATTCACATGCTCTTGATTCATTGGAAGGACAATATGGAACAGTAAGCTTATTGAAAGGTCAATTTTAACTCTATAATAGCATAATGGAATATTTAATGATTTTGTTTGAAATCTTTTTAGGTGGGTGGATGGGGAAAAGACATACTAACGAACACTGTTTACAATGAGCCTAGAATATTTAAAATGTGTATTTTTAATCAAGAAGATTGTATGAAAAATAGAAAAGAATTTATGTTTGTTACTTCGAACACAACTCTTTGCGCTGGGATAAAAAATGGTAATGCCTGACGCTTTAATAGTGATATTTTAAAATATTTATCCATAAATTTGTGATTATAGCCACACTATAAAAAAATAGAGACCATTCAATAATTGTGGTTTCTAAATTTTCAATTTTCTCAAAATAATCCAATTTAATGTGTTAAATATTTGTGAAAAACGATGTTTAGTTGAATTTTATGTTATTACACTTTTAGAATTATTAAATAAATACTATTTGTTACATATGAAGTGGAATTAAATTGAAACATTGCTCATTTTAAGTTAACATGAGAAACAACAAATTGATTACCGATTACTGATTTATATAAGCTCAATTCTACACATGGATTGCAGCTTTTGTGTAATTTACAATAAATTACTGGTAGGTTTCAAAAATCACCCACCTCGGATGTTGGCAGGCTGGGATCAGGCAGTAATCTTATCCGTCCAGCCACCAAGGTTGGCTCCAGGGGCTTTCAACAGCTAGGTCATTTCAGCCTCCAATGCAATCACTCTCAATCCAAACTCATTAAATCTTAAAGACATTCCTATTTACACACCATTCACTCAGTATGGTGGGGCACTTGATATTCCACCATCGACCCTCTCACATTTACACAAATAAATACATTCAGTCTGAATATACACAAAGAAACACAAGATGAGGTATCAACAAAGTGATAGAGAAACAATAGATTATTTATTTGTTTCTTTTATTCTTTCTATTGAATTCTATTCAAATTATATTACAAAAACTATCACATAGTTTGAACAAATTGATAGGTGTTTTGTGTTTTCTTAACCTCTCAACTTGAACTTTTGTAACACACATTAATTTGCTTATTTGAAAGTTGATTGAACCGAATCATCTGCCATAAAGAATTTGTAACCACAAACCTAACAAAATTAAAATTTAATTCACCATCTGGAAATATGTTTCTGTTTATTATTAAATTTTTTTAACCAGATATCATGCTGAGTCTGCTTTTAATAATTTTTTTTTTCTTTTGACTGACAGCTATGGTCATATCTGTAGCTACTTTGCATTTTCCCTTTCTGTGTTTTTTTCTTACACTATGGTAATAGCTTATAAAGCCCCTTCATGGACGATTTACTTTCGTCTCACTAAAATGGACACTTTGAACATGTAGCATATCCCTTAATAGACGTCTCCTGTCATACGTGGTGAAGGACTCTAATTCGATCAATATTATAGCATCTTGTACACACACACACACACACACACACACAGTAAAAAACCTAACCTAACTAGTTTTGACAGTTTTGTGGGGTACTCTATATTCTGCCACAGACCAGTCCATTTACACTTACCCATACATGCAAATAAATACATTCATACCAAGAAAAGATATAAATGCCATGTGTGAAGGGTTATATGTAACCATATGTGTTTATTGATTTTAGATATTCAAGGAGTTTATCTTTATAACTATCAGACTAGTCGTTCACATTTCTTCTAAAATATGTTTTCTCATCGCAGTCGATTTTATTTCAATTAGAATAAACACATCCAATTTAAAACATGGAATTCCTTAAAAGTGATAAACAAGCATTTGAAGAAAATATTCAACATATTTGAACTGTATAGATTAGTGCAGTAAATGTAATAATATAATGCTATATATAATAACATTGTGGCTGGTTTAAGTGCCAGCAGGTTACATAGGTCATCATCAGCCCTCTTCTCCTTTGCCGTTCGTTTTTTCCTTTTCAAATTTTGTTCATTCTAATTCAATTATGTGTCAGCCAAGTTCTATTTACATTAGGTTTTGGGTCTTAAGAACCTCATTTTTCTACCCTATGCTTCTCCCCCTCTCTCTTTTTCAGGGCTGCATCGAACAAGGATAAAAATATGCACATGGTAGGGTAATGAGGATAATAAGAAGTGGGGTTTGCGCTCCCCAGGCACTGCCTTCTTGCTTATTGTACCTTCCTAGTCCCCTAATTCAGTGCAATAGACTCAATCCTTCTTCTTAGAAGTATCAGGTCATTGACTGTTGGTTAAATCTCCATTGAGCTGTTGCTTCGCATTCGAAGATGATATGGGTAGCTGTTTCCTCCTCATTGCATAATCTGCAGATCGGATCATCGTTGTATATGCCCATGTTGTGTAGATGTTCTCACAGATGCTAGTAACTGGTTAGTTGTCCTATCACTCCTCTGAATAGGACCCCTCTCCAATTGCAGCAGTGAGTTTGCCAGTCTTGGTGAGGGCTGTTTCACCACAAGTTTAATGTGTCTAGTGCCGCTAGAGTTTATCAACTTCTCCTTTTGTTTTGTTTGGATCTATTCTGTGATGGAGGATTCTATATTTGTTTTTGTTGTCCCAAGTATGTTTGGGGCCTGTGTAGGATCTTGCAGATCCTCCTCTGGCCAATCTGTCTGCTTTCTCATTACCCAAAATTCCCCTGTGCCCTGGCACCCAAGATATCATTAGGTTGTTGTGTTTCCCCAGGTTTTGGAGATTTTGGATGCATTCAATGACTAATTTTGATGTGATTCTTTTACATGCTAATGCTTTAATGGCTGCTTGGCTATCTGATCTTATGAGGATTTTTTTGTCAGTGTAACCTCTTTTAAGATTTTCCTGGGCACAAGCAATGATGGCATGTATTTCTGTTTGAAAGACCGAAGTGTAATTCCCTAATGAGTTTGATTGCTTATGTTTTGGGCTTGTACAGAAAATGTCCAATACTGTTCTTTCAATTTGTTTTAGAGCCATCTGCATAGCATATCATTGTATCTGATACTCTCCTGTATAGTACGTTGAGACTATGTAGGATGTTGTAAAGAATGTTTTCGGGATCATATAGTCAGTCCCAATTTCTAATAATGGGTGTCTGATTTTGTTGATTATGGTTGTATGCCCGAATTGTTTAGTTCCTTTCCAATTTAATTGTTTCTGGAGCCTAAATGGGTTTTTCCTAGCCTCTCCTTCTATGAATATTTCCAGTGGAGGTATGTTTAGCAAAGTTTCTAATGGATTTGTAGGGATTGTTCTCATTACCCCTGTGATACGTAGGTTTGTTAGTCTTTGTATGCTGACTAATGTTTGGGTAGCTACTTTTGGTTGAGCTGTGTTCCACCAGATTAATGATCTAGGTTATTTTGTGTCTTATTACTGCCTTGTATAGCCATTTCTGGTTTTAATCCCCAAGATTTGCCTAGGATTCTTCTTGTGGTCATTAGTGATATTTCACTTTTTGCTATAGTATGTTGCAGGTGAGGGTTCCAGGTTAATTTCCTATCAAAGATTATTTGTAGGCATTTAACCTCATCTTTTATTTGCAGCATTTCATTATAGAAACATAAGCCTTGTATTTCTATATTTCTTTTCTTGGTGAAAGCAATTAGTGTGGTTTATGAGGGGTTTGCTTTAAGTCCCTGTTTTGAATACCATTGTTCCACCATGTTTAGTGCTCTTTGGGCGAGCTCTTTTAATGTTGAGTCGAATTTTCCCCAGACTAGTATGACAATGTCTATCTGCATAGCCTTGGGTATAGATTCCGCTTTCATTTAGTTTCATGCACTACCACATTCCACATCAGAGGCGAGAGTATTCCTCCCTCGCCACCGCTGCTTCTACTTTTTCGTGGAACATGGAAGCCTGCACTTTTCTGCCTTTTAACATTGATTCTATCCATCTTCAGCAGGTTTTGTCAGTTTGTCACTGTTTGAGGGTGGCTTTAAAAGAAGTATTGTCAAATCTCCTTCAATGCCCGAGAAAGTTCCTAATGCTATTTCCTTGTTGTTCAGTGAATGCTCTATTTGTATTGTTAATTGGTGTAGTGCTGATTCACAGGATTTTCCTTTCTGATAGGCGTGTTGATATTTATAAAGAGGTTTTTCTTTTAGAGATCTGCCCCTTACATGTTTTTCAATTAGCCTTTTAACCGTTTTGAGTAGAAAAGAAAATTATGCACATAATAACCACACAAATTTTACACATAAAATTAAAATATATGCATTAAAAACATTAAGCTGGGATAGCATTTTTACTGCCCTGGAGTACTTGATATTCCTAAGGGTGATTGGGGAAGAAGCTGATAAATTACTCCATATATGCATTTAGCAATCATAGTTGACTGTATTAATTACAAAGGCCGTGGGTTCAAGTCCAGCTCATGACATTTGGTTTTTCATCTCAACCACGACCTTAGATTAAAAGTATAATTAATTAAAACTAATAAATTACATTAACACTGCACCAGAGTACTCTTAATATTCCTCAAGGATCAAGGAGTTGACCCCTTTTCTTGCTAATAAATACGTTTGGTTCAACCAATTTTGTTGTTTCCAATTAACCACAATAATGAACACATGCTTTAAATTGGTACCGTATATTGTTAGGTATTATTTTATTTTTTAAAAGTGTGTTGAAAAGAAAGTATTTAAAAAAATCAACAAATGTAAAAATACTTGTGCCATAATATCAAGCAGGTTTCATAGATAGGTAAATAGAGAATTTAGTGGGTTTTTTTCTTTTTTTTTCACCCACCTCGCTAATTTTCTCTATCAAAATGTGTAATATTTAGTGTTTTTTATGTGCTTTTGGCCTTGAAACAAAGCTGAGAGAGAAAATGAGTGTGAATAGGCAGATCAGGATGATAAGGGGTGATCTTTTACAGATTCAGAAGATTCTTAGCATCTTAACTTAGGCCAATCAAAATGGACTAGTCAATCCCTTTCAGTTTGATGATAAAATTCAGTCTAACTTTTAAACTGCAAATACAGATAAAATTAATGACCCTTTTACTGTTCTACAAGAATTAATACAACTGGAGTTCTTCTTCTTATCAAGCATTCCAGATGCTTATTTTTCTACACTTTTCTTTTATATTTTCCATATTTTAGGTTACATCCCCTCAGTCTGTATAACTTTAATTTACAAGAATGCTTCAATTGCTCTGCAGAAGAAGAAATATTACATTTGATAACTGCATGATATAAAGTAAATGAAAAGAAAAGAAAGAAAAACTTTCAGGTAGTGGACCTTGTAATGGTGACAGCGGAAGTGGATTAATGGTTAAGTCCAGGACTGATAAAAATGAAGAAATTTGGGTCCTCCGAGGAATAGTCAGTCTATCTCTTGTCGATGAGTACACTTATTCATGTGACCTTTCTAACCTGCAAATTTTTACCGACGTAGCAAAATATAAAAGTTGGATTTTAAAAATTATCAAATAAATCAATTTTCTGTGTGTGTAACATTATTATTTTAAAAAAATACAATTTCAACTTAATCTAACATGTATAAAGACCTCCTACCACTAATATAAATATTAATTTTTTAATAGGGTTCAGATCCAATATAATTGATCCCAGTTCTTTATTTAATTTTTTTTTAAATTGATAAAACACTAGATTTGAATTAATAAACATATGGTTGTTTCGTTTTATTTTGTTTATTTTATTCCACCCATATTTCATCATTCTTTCTTTGCTATTTTTGCATGTTAAAGACTATATTTTTGATCAACAATTCAATAATTCCTTTCTTTGTCTTATTTTGTTATATTTATAAGCAGGTGCATTATGTATTGTGTATGATTTGCCATTTTTGTTTTAATTCTTGTTTTGTGTTGGTTGAATTAATCACAATTTACTTACGACTGCTATGTTTTGCTACAAACTTTGCCAACTCTAAGTACTTAACATGCTTGTGTTATAACAACCTTCATCAAGACTGGCAAATTCACTGCCTCAGTGAATAGATGGCTGAACGCAGAGAAGCGATATGACTACCGTTCATGGATGGATTGAATGAATAACTTCCTTTTCTATTCCGACAATTTAGACAGACAGCTACAGCAGTTCTGGTAGGTTGAAGACGTCTCAACAAGAAGAATCACAAAGGATGAGCAACTCACATAAGAGCATTTCTGACAGAAACTGTTCGAAACACTAATGGAAAATATGTGGTCCAGTTGCTTTTAAAGCAAGACAGACCGGCACTTGGTGAACCATTTGATGCAGCTTTGAAACGTTTTATGCTTAGAGAGACATTTAACAAACAATACTAAACTATGAGAAGACTGCAAGATTCATGAAGGAATATGATCGCTTGGGACATAAAAAGTTAACAAAGCAAGAAGAAACCACCACATTATTAAGACATGTTATCTGCTCATCACACTTTCTAGGAGGGTAGATTATTTACCAGAATGAGGGTAGCCTTTGACGCATCTTTTAAAACAACATCAGGTTTATCTCTTACTGATGTATTCCTAGTAGGACAACAATTCAAGATCTATATGCAATAGTCTTGCGATTTTGAACCTGTAAGGTATTAATTCATATTTGTATTTAGTAGTCATAATTATGCTTTTTATCCAAGGTCTTGAAGGTAAGGTATGTTTTACAGCAGACATAATGAAAAACTACAGACAGTTTAAAGTACATGAGGACTACATTAGCTTACAATGGTTTCTAGAGTGAAAGGAACCTAAAGAACCAATAAAAATTTGTATTAAATTAAAAAAAAATAATAAAACAAGAAAGGTTTTGTTTATATGTTGATCTTCTGCGAATGGGAAACCCAATTAAAAATTTTCAACATTTAGATAGTGAGTATGTTTGAAATAAAGCGCTTTAGAATCTGCGTGTGGTATGAGAGTGCGATGGGCACTGAGATTTTTATTAATACAATATTATTCCTGTAATTGGAGGAAAGGAGAGAAAATGGGACGATAAGCAACCATCCCTGGAAGTGTTGATAATTGGAAATTTAATTTTGTGGATTCTAATATCAGATTTTGTGTTTCATATGGAGTATAAGACTTCAACATGATGTGACATGGCTCATTAATTGGAAAGGGTTCAACATAATCAAGAATACAATTGGAGGGACATTTGATTCTTCTTAGGGTTGGGATAAAAATTGCCTTCAGTTCCAGCAGTCTTTATTAAGCATCTTCAGCCCTGAATCTTGTTAACAGAATGGGTTCTGTCAGATATAAAGTCAACAAGTGTCAGTTCTTTTGTTATTTTATACTTTTGTGAGATGATAAAAGTTCAAACGTACAATGTTCTAGTCAGTGAATCTAGGAGCAGGGCAGAAGATGCTTATAAGTGAAAATCTTCCTCATAAAATAAAAAGAGCTGGAACTGAAGACAATTTTTATCACACTCTCAAAAATTATGGAATTCCACAGCAAGGATGCTACTACTACCCAATTCAACAGAATTTGATTTTTCATCATTGACCAGCAAAATTGGAGGATAAAATAATAGATCAAGTCAAGGGCAAACTTTGATTCAAATGTTGGACTGTAAATGTCTGTGGCTTATCATTATTAACATTAAGCGGTATAGGAGGGAGTAATGTTGTGTATACTGCTGGGAACTAATGGGAGAAACCCAAATATATAGCCTATATATTTTAAAAAATAACAACTCAAATTCTCCTATAGAGCTGTATAAGTCACCGACAACTCTTATACTATATTTCCATTATTTATCTTTCAGCAGTTCATGATTTACTGGGTAAAATTAGAAAAATAAGAGTACATACTTCACTAAGAATTAAAATATAAAAACACAAGTGTGTGGAACACAGCCTTGTTGAGATGCCCAATTCTCGTATTTGTCTAGCACTTCTGGGTTCAAATACCGACGTTGCCCCTGGAATTAGTCTTTTATTAATTGAAAGAGTACAGGAAGGTGTCGACAATTCCTGTCAGAAATTAAAAAAATTAATCAATTTGCTTTGACTTGCAGATTTTATATGACAGCCAAAATGTTTCCTTACTACCCACTGGATGGTGGATCAAACCACTTCTTTCATTTGCAATTAAAAATTCATGGGCTGGTGGGATTCGAACCCAGGATCCTAGTGTGACAAATGCGAGTCAGAAACCCTAACCACTCGGCCACCATGATACCCTAGCAATATACTTTTTGTTACTTAACATTGTTATTTCACAGATGCACATCTATTGTTTGTCTCCAGCACAAATTGATTTTTATTAGCTTTAAAAAATAAATAAAAAATTACAAACTTGTTGGTGCTTCTAGTAGAACAGAAAAGATTTTTGATTCCCTCAGACAGGCATTTAATCCTACACTTCCATTCTCTTGATTTTTGTTAGCAAATATTTAACCTAAAATAAGATTAAATAAAAATGTGCAGTTTTAAGAGATGAAAAATAAAATAAACACTATTTTTAGATTTTATTCGCATTTATTAGACAATGACTTACTAGTCAAATAGTAAGTACATTAAATTGTATCTAATAAATCAAATATAAATATTAATTATGTAATAAAAACAAAAATAAACAATACAACAATTTATAAATTAAAGTTCTTTTTTTCTGTTAAAAAAGTGAGTATATATGTACACAATGAACCAGCTTGTTGCCATTTGCATTGGAGAAATTGGAAAAATAAATCTTTATTTGAATAAATGTATCTAATCTCTATCATTGTAAAAAGATACTACAAACTTTTGGAATAATCACCTTCTGTATATTATATATTTACATTATTTATATATTCAAACCCATCTCATCTAATTAATATATATTTTTTATATTTATTTAATTTTATGCTATACAGCTCGTGATTGTACTTAAGAATTCAGGTGTATTTAATTACAATTTACTCGACATAAATTTTTTCTAAATTTGCCGATATGAAATTTATTGCCTTCAAATTCAGTAACACTTGTTGCTTATAATACATCTGGATTACAAATATAATTTTTGGAATATAAAGTTTGTGTATATACATTTATACACACAAACTAGATACATTATTAGAAAATGTATGTGGCCAACTTGTTTTTTTTGTTTGGTAAAAAGAGGAATAATAATATATATACTCTAAAAATGTTGAATAACATGTTCAGAAATGTTTGACTTTGTACACTTTTTAGTGTTTGCATTCCAACATTGTGTTACAAGTGTTATATTTTCATGTAATTAACACAACAAAAAAAGCACAATATGTTTTCACCATGGATATTGTATAAAAATGGTCCAATAATGTTAAAATGCATGCTATTAAAATTAAAGAAAAAAATATATACCAAGAAACACAAAATTTACAGGGGTAGGAAATCAAAACAGAAAGAAGATAAATCACCCAGCAATCAGTGTTTATTTGATGATTGCTCAACACCTTAAAAAAACCTTATATACACGTTTTCTTAAATACTCAACATGATTCATTTATTTTCAATTTTTATGTCCTGATTACAGTACCATATGGAATCTTTAAAAAAAAAAGAAGAAAAAAGTAAATTGTGATAAAGTTCCATTGTTTTACAGCTACATCTTAGAATTTCAGAACAAATCTGGCCATAATGGTGACAAACTTACAGAACAAACATGAAAGAATCGAGCAAATATACTGATAACACAGATTTCTACAAGAAACATTTCCTTTTAATCGACACATGAATCATCCTTTAAATAAAAATAACAATAAATTACAGTAAATCACTGAATGCCAACTCAAAGAGTATAATTAAATGGAAAAGAATAATTAATCAGTATTTTGCAATATAAAAACTTTCACATATTTATGCAATCAGCATTGGACATGTTACAATCAATGCTAACAGTTCTTGGAGCTTTACACTTTTACCCTAGTTCCATGTTGGCATTTAATATCAGTCTGAAAAAAGCAACTAAGCAAACAGAAATTTTTCTAACTGTAAGAAAGAATGGTGTAAATTAAAAAAGTTTGAATTACTTTGGAAAAAGAAGTATTCACTTTTTAGTCTTGTTTCATTTACAACCGATCAATATGAAGATTATATCAATATATACGGTATAAACGGAACAAGGCTTAAGTGTTCTTTTCAGAAAATGATATTAACCACAACTCTATATTAATCTAAAATAAATAATTGAGGTCATATTTACATATTTAAACACTCTGTGTCAACAAATTTTGAGCCACAAAACATAAAAGCATGGAACTGAATTATAACCAGATTAACAAACATATATTTCCTTTTCATTTTGGGAAGGGAAAGAAAATCATATTTCAACATGGAAAAGCTATTAACTGTACAAGGCAAAAATTCTCTTCTGTCTGATCTATTTCCAGAAAATGCGTATAAATTATTTTTTGTAGAAAAATATAATTTGACTTATGTATTTACAAACATCAATACTATAATGCACAATATGTGATTTGATTTAAACAATAAATATTTGAACAGGCAAATAAATACTACTCATAATAACAATTTAAACATTAAATTACAATATTATTCCACAATCACCAAACAAGACAAGATGGTAACGCCAATTTTTTTCTGCCATAATTTGTGAAACCAAATATACATAAATATTTTATACATTTTTTATTTTTAAATAAATTTGTACAATACGACTGAAAGAACATTTGTCTGTCTTTTATAATAATAATGCAAGCAGAAATTGAGAAAAATGGATATTTCACCGATTCTAATCCAAAAACTATAAGTCAAGAAATAAATTTCAAGTGAAAATGATTCAATAGTTTACAACTAAATTAAGTAATTTGAAAGATATTTAACATAAATTGAATAAAATACTTCAAATAAACAAAATGACAGAGTGTTCTTACAATCGAATAAACAGTCAATTGTGGTGTCATACTTTCACGAAATGGCAAAATTAAATTTTATTATTTTTGTATATTTGCTTCTTATTTCCTCTTTTTTAATAATTTTATACACCAATGTACACTGTGCATAAGTCCACAAGATTGCACATTCACTTTACCAATAAGTCATATCACAAGATCTTGGAATGCTTAAACTAAAAAGTCAGGATCACTGTATTCATTTTCACTGTCATCGCTACTTCTGAATTTCCTCTTTCGTTTGTGATGGTGCTTCTTGTGGCGTTCAGTCTTACGGCTTTTATGCCTATGAGTTCTTACTTCACCTTTAGAAGTAATGATTGTTAGTTTTGGAACTTTTGGTGGGTTGTTAGGATCCTGAAAAATAACATTGTTTTAATCATTAATATTAGAAATTAACTATGAAACTGATTCTATTTTTGAAAATCACCTCACTAATTTAAAAAAAATACATAGACAAGGAAAATTTGGCTGTACATTTATGTTAACACATTAACTGCAAAGGACGAATAATCTTGATCTTGGTAAGGCTTGGACGAAGAAACAAATTCAATTGTTACTGCCAAACTTTCAACCTATTTTAAGGTCAACGACAGGGCAAAACCATCTTAAATATATCTACAATTTAACATAATTAAGTTATTAATAGATGGTTTAAAATTTCTTCGAAGACAGACCCAGTCCCAACATTGCCACCGAGTGTAACACTACTAAAATTTGAAACCATCGATAAAAATTTAATTATGTCAATGTGTAGACATATTAAGATTGTTTTGCTCTAATGATGACCTTAAAATAAATAAAAAGTTTGGCAGTAACAACTTTATTAATTTTAATTATTTAAGCCATTTTGTATTATTACAAATAAAGGAAAATTTTTGTAGAAAGTAAAACTAATTTTATTTAACTACACACTTAAACTGAATAAACATTCTGCGGGTTGCCTATTTCATTTACTTAGCACTATACGGCACGTAAAAAATATAAAAAAATCATTAACATCATTTCTATGTACCAGAGAGTTCTTTAATAAATGGGTTTCTGTCATGATCAACAAAATGGCCAAGATGCGTCACCTTGTTTCTATACATTAAAATCATACATTAATTATAATTAAAAATGTAACTAACGTGTTGTGCTGCAGCAGCCTGTTCAGATTCTTCTGTCTTTTTTGCAATTAGTTCCCTAACACGGAGAACTGTCCCAGTTCCCTCCGAAGTATTTCGTTGAACATCGTCATCATCTTGATCGTCCGGATCCAAATTCATGATCAATGTTTTAAACTGAAAATAAATGCATCGACAATTGTTTACGTGTTAAGCAATTTTAAATATACAACACAGGAGGAAATGGCAATTAACAGATTATTTTTCATGAACACTATATTGGGCTAACCCCTAATAATCTTTGCTTATAGGTTAAGAAGAAACTACAAATTTATATGTTAAGATAAAGACGTCTTAATTTTTTGGAAATTAATATGATGTACCTCTAAGTATTCAGTCACCAGTTCTCTTCTTGCATCTTCATCGAGTATTCTAGGCGGTGTCCCTTCTTTGAGTTTCTGAAGTGTTGCTTTAGGGTTAAATTTTGAATTTGATTTTCTATTGACACTTTTATCATAAACTTTCGAACCATCAGTTGGTGAATATTGGGTAATTTTTCTGTTATTAAAATAAATGCAAATCGATTGTTATTAAATATAAAGAAAATATAAAATACATATTTTTGTGAAACACTTACGCATCATTAAATCCGTACAAAGTTTTTAGATGTTGTTTTAATACAAGTAGTAATAAGCATCCTTGAGAAGCAGTCAAACAGTGCTGAAGTATTGTCGTATCTTCTGGTATTCTTTGCAGTAGCATTTCCTCATCCTCATCTTCCTCTTCATCAGGATTTTGAGCTCTTTCTTCTTCTGTGTGCAAAGGAATCAATGCCTAGAAGAATGTGTAAGTATTACAAAACAATATATTTTAAATCAATATATTTTATAGCAGAATAATGTTTACCTCTCGAAAAGACTGAAGCAAATTTGTGCCAGTTACAGAAATAATAATATCTATATGGTGTATAATAAATAATGGTTCATCTTGAACTTGGTAAGGAAAATAAGCCATGTTATCTGCCAAATATAACATTTGAGCCAAACTGGTCTTCTAAAAAAGCATTAAAAAAAAGTTTTTAGATAAAATTTAATATGATGATTATACTGTGCAGTTAAATTCAAAATATTTTACATACTCCGTGCTCATCGAACTGTTTCAAGATCGACAACATTAGGGCTCTCCTCTGTTGTTTTGTTCTAAGAATTGAATAAAGAAAACCATTTAATGCCGAAGGCAGTTCTCCTTCTTTTAATCTAAACCCACGAACAGTGGATTCATACTGTAAGATTTTTTGTAATTTATATGAGAGTTTGATGCCTGGTTGAGCCTGAAATTTAAAAAAATTAATTTAACTACATTGCCTTATCACAAAATCTTAAGGGCTAACTTAGTATTTACTATACCTTCATATGAATAAAACCGGGATATTTTTTCTCAATATCCTGCAACTGTTTGTCTGCACAGCTGCTAACAGCTTTGTCATTATCTGTACTCATACAAATTAAGTAAGGAACGATCTGTAAATAGAAGATAAATTTTTAAAAAAATTCTTATGAATGTGTGAACAGGGGAGGTGGTATCAATCTAACCTGAACAGGATGAACTAAACCTTGTGCTAAAATAAGCTGAATAACTTTTAATGCAGAATTTCTAACAGATGGATGGGGGTGAAGAAATGCTTCCAATGTTTCTTTTAAATACAATTGTATTACAGTACTGGCCATCCCAGAAGTCACATCACCCATTTCCTTTAAATTTTCGGTTTTCGATAACTTTGCCCCTGTTAAAAAATATGAATCATTAGCTCAATTTATTAATTTAAATATATTTAATCAACAGTTAATACATACATTCTTGATCTTGTTTAATCATCTTTTTCTCTTCTTCTTGCAAATAATTTTCAATATTTGTCAGTACCTATAACATGCAAGGAATGATAAGTAAATTTGAACAACACAAAGCATACCATTATACAAAAACATTTAAAAGCATAGTAACAGATATGGCAACGTTAAATTGTGATATTAAAAGTATGTTCCAGGACACAATCACAAACCAGTTGCCAACTAATCCATGATTTATGATGCGTATGCCCGAACATCAACTGATCATGGATTCGTAACTCTGTTGGAATGCTTTTTTCCAATTTCGTACTACAGTTCTTCCAACAGTCACCAGAAATCATGCAATGATCAACCGAGGAAGAAAATGAATATGAGTGGCCTATTTTCTTACCTGCACTTTCATTGCCAGTGGAGCACTTTCATTTTTCAGATAATTATGGTACAAGGTTTTTAACTCTGTTCCAAGCATAAGTTCATAATGTCGAATGCAAACAGACCCGACAGCCTTTAATGTGTAATGCTGTGACTCTTCGTCATTGTGCAGAAAGAATATGAAGGTATTAAATACATCATCTTTAATAGTTTCCTATAAATAACAATTTGTTATAAGACGGGAATATATTATAAGAAGGTTTTTATGTATAAGAATGTATAGAAAAAACTTACAGGCAGTTGATCACCTATGACATCTTTATCCGTAAAATCAAAGAAACGGAGTAATAAACCAACTACAAATAATGATCTTCTAAAAAGGGGTTTCAGTCTTTGTAATGATTCAGGGTTACGATTACCACTTTCTAATAACTGTTTATAAGATGCAAGAAAACCTAAAATAATAAAATCATTTGTTTAATGCACATTATTGAAAATTAAGAAACTATATATCGTAGACTTACAATTAAAAACATTTTTACATGATTATTTCTATCAAAAATTTAAAATATACCATTCAAATTTTTTTTACTTACCATGATACTTCTTTAGACAATCCCTTATCAATGCAAAATTTCTAGTTACATTATTTACAATTGATCCTAAACAAGAAACACAACTAGAGACGACTGATGGGTCTTGTTGCATCATCAACTTAACCGAGTCTTCTTCCAATCTTGATAGAAACATTTCACTAGGATGTTCAATCAACGGAACCACTAGTTCAAGTGTTCTCGCGACACAACTGATAATTTGGTAATCCCCTTGAGTCTAAAAAATTTAATTACATATTTTATTAAACAAACTTTTTCTTTAAATGTTGTCTTTATTATAACAATATCTCTACCTGGCACTTTAATGATAAATAGGGTTGTAAAGTTGTTGCATGGTGTACAAGAAGTTGTGGCCTTATTTTGGCAAACAGGTAGAGCATTAATAGACAAGAAACAAGTCTTTGTGAATCTTGACCATTTCCATCAAGTCGAATGACAGTTTCAACTAAGCAATCAACTATTTGTTTGCATGCAACAAGAATTGTCTTGGGCACCTCAACAGCCACTTTGGTTGTTTCTTCCTTATCTTCACGTGGTTTAAATAGCTATAATAAATGATCAATTATTAAATTAATTACTCACTTACATTGATCGATTTGCTTGAGATCCCTACTAATTTGTCATAAATATTGTTGTGCATAATTTTTTCGATTTTTTCAAATTTCGACTTTTACCCTTATAAGAGCTAAAAGGAGTCGAAATCCTTACCTGCTAGCCCTGTTAGCTCTAGGGTGGGAAAAGCCTTATTGAAAGAGATTGTTAAGAAAGGGGTAGTAGTTGATTCCAAAAGTCAGTCTAGAACAAACTTTGGAGCATTCGATGTGGAAGCAGATAAAATTAATTTGAGGCATTGTTTGCTATTAAAGTTCGATCTCTGGGCATGGACCGGTGGATGCCTGTCGAAATTAATTAACTGAACGTCTCAACTGGGGTTCTGATGTTTTCGTAATGTAATGAGACAAATCAAAGACCAGCCTCTTTGTGGAATGCCAGATGAGCTTAAAAGCTTAAAAGCGATGACTTATTAGTAGCATTGGAGGGTGAGGATAAATTAACTGTAACTAATAAAGAGATTTCAGGTACATTGTATAATAATAAAAAGAACAATCCAAACTTGGGATTACATTGTGAAACTCAATTCATGTGTTCCCATTGAATTATCACACAGGAACAAGGAAGACCGCATGGCTTGTTGCACCAGAATAAGAATAAATTGGAAGGATTTATTTCATATTTGAGCATTGGGATGAGCAATGGGGTCCTTTACAAAAATGTTAAATGCCGAAGGACCGTTTGCAAGAAGAATGAAATGGTGCTGTTGACATCAGGACAATTGCACCATGTCTGGGGGGAATTTATTGGGAACTGTTACCATATAACTAAACCCTACAGCAGAGTGTGCCCAGTTAGAGTGGGGGGGTGCAATCAATTTAATGCAACATAAACACAAGTGTTGAAAGAAAAGGTTCAGCCATGATCAACAGACGCAACGTTTTGTTTCACTATGGCAATGCCAGGCCTCACAGAGTAAAATCAGTTCGGCAGGCAGTAGTTGCACCACTCTCCATAATCTCCAGATCTTGCCCCTTCCAATTTTTACTTGTTCATCTCCCTTGACCACTTAAAAGGTAGGGAATTTTTGAATGTAAACTCTGAAAATCGGACTTAGTTTTTTTTTTCTTGTCTCATCACATTTTTACAAAAGAGAATATTTCTACTACCAGAACAATGGTAGTATGTTATAGAAAACGAAGGAAATCATGTTTTGGAATAAAAAATAAAATAAACATATATTTTGAAAATTTTACTCTTTTTTTCTTCTGAATACCGAAAAAACTTATGCTCATATCCAATATATATGCGAAATTTTTTTACAGAACTATGACTATATTATTTTGCAATTTAGCATTCGATTTCAATTATTTTTTTACTTACACTTAAAAGCAGCTGTTCAAACCACTCAATACTGACATCATTTGATGCAGACACGACATCTGTGATATTCATGACTTTACGAACTAAGGCATCAGTATCCAAAACAGGTCTTTCTTTTACTGGAGTAAACCACATGTTTTGGAACACTTCTAGCACTAACTTCCGAATGCCTAAATAAAAAAATTAATGAACATAATGTTTAACGTTTAATATAATTCAATACACAATATTTTTGACATTAAACTTACCATCTTCATCATTAACTCTTCTTATTATTTTTACACAAATTTCAGGAATTTTGGGGAAGTCAGGGCATTCAATGCAAACTTCTTTTAGAATTTTAATTACTCTTTTCCTAACACTCACTCCAGTATCCTAAATTAAAAAATAAAATAGTTTTTTTTTTTAAACAATTTTTAAAACCACTTATGTGTTTATGTGATTTAATGCAACACAAATAACATACCAATATTCTTGCTGACAACATGTCATAATAAGTTGGAATCAATTCTGTCCGGCTAAGAATGAACTTTCCCACTAAATCGACTGCAGCCTCTCTCACAGAAGTTGAATGATCCAAAAAAGAATGGCTAACCTTTATAACACAATAATTTATAAATACTTTGTTTTTCTAAGACAAACCACAATTAAAATTTAAAAAACAAAAATAAAAAAAGACGTACTCCCAATTGCATTTCCTTTAATCCCAAAACACTTGGGTCAACTTCCACAATGGATGTCAAACACTTCATTGCTTTTGTTCTTATTAAAACAGATGTTTCTGTAAGTACTTTAAGAATCTAAAACATTAAGTAAATTACATTTTATAATGTTGTACATTTGATAAAACATTTAATTTAAGAAAGAGTTCAAATTTAAAACATAAAGTATAACATTTGGCTTACATGTTTTAAGTACACGTCAAAACTTTGTGAAAAAGGCCTTTTAGACGCTAAATAACGGGCAATCAGTTCCGCACTTCCATAATCTATGTAAGTCTGCATAACCTGAGTTTTTACTCCATCTGCAGAAACGGAGTCTTCAAAAGGACGGATTTTACTCAGCAAAAAGCGTTTCTTTGACTCGTTAAACTTATAGGTGTCAACAGGGTCTTCACTAGATTTGGAACAAATGCCTTCGTCTTCACTCGTCGTCTGATCCTCATCGCTCGTTTCAGCTAAACATGGCAGAGATAGAGTGTAAAATTATGGCAATATTATGTTAATATTTGCTGAACAAATTGTTATTACAGTTTATAGAATTTGAATTCAATTGAGCAACCAAACTATATGCTTTTATCTGGCTTTAAAAAAGTCAATTTTTGTTCGACTAGTTTTGTTTTTCTGCATTAGTTGGTGTAAAGTATTTCCAATTTTGAGAATTGGAAGTACTCAATAAAAATTTTGATCAATTTTTTTCTTATTAAACTAGATGTTTTGTACGTCATTTGTAGGTAGGTGTAAAGGATTTGAAATGTTGACCACTGGAAGTGCATGATTTAAAAATGAGAAAAACAAATTTGAATGACAATAATTAGGGGCAAATTTTTTACAAGATATTCAACATCATGTAAAAAATGAGCAAACCCTTGTCAGGGTGCCAGGGCTCACATGACAGAGGGGCAACGAAGAAACTGATAAATTGACCAAGGAAATTCAATGAGGGCACTATTATATTTTACAATACCACACATCAATATTTATTTATAACCATAAAGCAATTTACCTCCTTTCCGGCGGTTTTTCTTTTTCCGTTTAGAAGACTTCTTAGACGGGGATGATGGAGACATGGAAGACACACAATTATCCTGATACCATTGAGCAAGATAAAAGTGTCTAGCATGGGTTAAAACCGTCTCAGTCTGTCCACGAATTGCAAGATAATCAAGCAGCACCCTCTGAAGGAACTGCATTCTATCATCGTCATTAGTGACTTCCTTTATTTCACCCTATAAAAAGAGAATTTCCAATATTGTGTTTTACTTAGCAATTAATGAAGTTAATGAATTTTAGAGCATAATTTATGTCTAAATCGATTTGCTAATACTACCAAAGTACTACTAATAATAATAATATAATGCTTTATTAGTACAAAAAAGTTTACAAAACAAAACATATGCCTTAACATAAAATAACGGCATGGATAAAAACCGTCTGCCATACTACCAAAGTACTATTAAAGTTAGTTGATGCATTTAACTCCTGTCTATGATTTAAAGTTAATGATATAACAATAATCTGTGAATCATTTTACAATCTGAATCGTGGGATTAATTTTTTTTTAATCTAACGAATGAAAGTGAGCAAAAAAATTGGAAATTAAGAAAGAATTAGATTGGTAAAACATATTAAGGTGATTTTTTATATCCATGGAATACACATTCATATTCATGGCACACATACTTAATTCAGAAATAGAACACATCACCTACTTAGTCAGCAAATTAAGAAAAATAGTTTTTTTTTAATCTTACCTTGCACACCCCTTCATCATCTTTCATTTCTTCAGTTTGTATATCTTTTATAATTTGATCAATCGTGGAACGTCGTAACTGAGAAGTAACAGCATCTTTTCTTAGCCTTGCAGCGACTGCTCCAAGATAATCAAGACTGGCGACTCTGAGCGACATCTCCAGCGATTTGTTTACAAAATTATTGACCTAGAATCAACAAATTTGTTACAAATAGTTGCAAAAAAATAAAAAAAGCGATAAAATGTGATGTGCTTACTAATAAATTTCCTAGAACACTCAGCATTAGTTCAGCAGCAGGCCACTCGGGTTTATTGACAGTAGTTAATAAATCTTGTACAAAATTTTCGAACAGAGGACGATAATCAATTTCTTCGCTTTTACTGCTACATTTTGTCAAAAATACATACAAAAAATTTGATGCAGTATTTCTCGCCGATTTAAATTTACTAACGATAACAATGTCTGGATTAAGCTAAAAAGGAAAAAATCAGTTCCAATTTTATTTATTAAAATCAAAGTTTTAATTTTAAAATGATTATTATTTGGCAAAATATTGTGAAATTGTTCAAATAAAATGAAAGTTTAATTTAATTAAAAATTCGTTACATTTGTATCATTTTTGGCATCCAGATTTGGTGGCAGAACAACCATGCACTGAACAAGTTGTAACACCAAAGCAGTTAACATCTGAATGTACTCTTCACTGCTAAGCCTATAAGAACGCAAGCTTCTTTTACTGCTGGGGAGACGAGCCATCGATGCTAAAATGTCATCCAGAAGCAATTTTCTGTGTTTTTCATACTTCGAAAAAATCTTAAAAATAAAACAATATGTAAGTGTACATTCAATGACAATTAAAAAATAAATAGACATATAAAAAGTCAATTAATTGATTTACCGTTGTAACCAATTTAAGAGCAGCAAGTTGCAAATCGCTAACCCTTTCAACAAAGAAAGGAGATATTCCCATGGAAGATGCATGAAGCACAGCATTATCCGTTAACTTCTGAATGTCCATTAACTCAGCTAGCAGAGATACAACTTCTGTCAATTTGGTGTATAAAGATAGTACACTTTTCTCCTTGACTTCCTTGTTACTATTTCTTTTCTTTCGGCCCGGTCCAACAAATCCATCTGTAGCAAGTATTGACAAATATTTGTAGAATCAAGGCTAGAAATAAAGGGTAAAACATGTAACTTACCTTTATCTTTGTTCTGAACCCTGTATACTGGATCATATGCAGGATATATTGTATTATGAAGTTGAAACTTTGTGAATATAATAATTCGGTCGATTACGTCCTCTAGATAAACTTGTTTCTGCATATTTGGGGATGTCAATATATAAAGTGCAGTTAATGACGCATCAACTGCTCTCATGACTCGTTCCATGGCTAATTCGACGAATAGCTTTCTCTCATCTTCACCATCATTCTGAAAAAATAAATATAGAACATCAAAATGTTATTACTTTTAACTGGATAACATAAAAAGCATTGGTTCATTTTAATTTAATATATTATCACTTGTAATGGTCAATAATTACTACTCACTGGGTCGGATATTGGAGAAACCTTTGCACCATCTCTAATATTCCGTTCCAATATGGTTAGTAATTTGGTAATTTTATCACTTGGAATAGACTCCATTGCACCTAAAGTATTTAGTTTAGCCGCTTCGCTGCAGAGATCTTGCAAATGATATTTAGGTATGAGTGCTTCACTTGGGCAATCACCCTCATCACCTATAAAATTCCACAAATCAATAAATAAAATCTATCAAAGAAATAAAAATTAAAATAAATACCAATTTCTGCTGTTATATCAACATCTTCGATATCCTCAAATATCCTTTCTAAGGATTTATTGAACCTTTGATACGTGTTTGTTTCCATCAGTTCTTCCACGCTAAGTTTCTCAATTACTGGCACCAATTTCTTTTCAACTTTTCTTAGCTTTGGTTTTGGGATAACAATATCTATAAATGAAAAATTCAAGTTAAGTTTTTAAATAAAGCACAATTTTTATAGAGTACAATCTTTAAATAATACTTACCAACTTTCTCATCTTCTGATTTTTCATCTTTTTCCTTTTCTTTTTCTTTCTCTTTTTCTTTGTCTTTTTCATTGCTTCCAGTCGATCTGGTATTTCGCTTTTTTCTTTTATTTCTTTCAGATTCAAGCTTAATACCATCTTCCTTATCGGCTTTTCCAGAACTTTTATCTACATCAGATGAATTTACAGATACAAATTATTTATAGTTATAATTGGGGAAAGAATAGAAAAACTTAATTACCCTTTTTCCTTTGTAATTCACGTTCTTTTTCCCTAGCCTTAAAAATTTTACTTTTGTTTTTAGGCTCTTCGTCACTTTCGGGTTCATCTTTAATTTTATTCTTATCTTTGTCATTATGTTCATTGTTTTTAATTATACCCAATTTATTGGCTAAAGAGGGCGATTTTTCAGCAAATTCTTTTAAGCTCTGTTGCATTAGTGCCTGATCCTAAAAACAAAAATAAATAAAATAAAAAATAGTAACATCAGAAATAATAAATCATTAGTAAAGACTACTATAGTACACACATAATGTACTAATAGACAATAATATACCAGGGTATTATAATAAAAGTAAGAGAAAAAATCCTCAGAAACAGTAAGTTACAAGCAAAAAAAAAAGCAATGTACTATGCAGGCCTAATTTTTCATCCTAATTTTTGCTTAATTCAAGCATCAAAACTATGTGTCATATATACACCAACCTAAGTGAGTTCAGTGACCTCTACTGCCCTTGGGATGTACAATCACGATTTGCATTTTACAAGTATCGTAAAGTTTTGCCTAACCCCATGTACAAAAAAATCCAAGATTTTTCATTCTTATATAGTCAATACGTTATTTGATTAATTAAAAAATAAAAACATAATAAAAAATACTTTGTATGCCATGTCTTTCAGCTTTTCCCTTGAGCTAATACAGTGGTTAATAACAAACAACTAAAACCAATAAAATTCTAATCAGTATACTGTTTAAAATTTACTACATTGAACATTTACAATATACACCCAATTTTACAAATTTTAAAATAAAAATAGTGCAAATTATAAAATGGGTAAAGTTAAATCTAGCAAACATCTTCTTCATAACAAGTACACGAATATTGAAAATAAAATAGTTATTTTTAAAAACTTTTTTTAACGTATTGCATGTCCTAATTATTATAAAACTAAATGCAAGATAAATTTTAATAGTACTAACCTCAGTAGACAATCTATTTAACATAACGATTGGTGAACTTAATTTACAGTTAGTTTGCCTCGTCGTTCTTTGTGGTGTTTCTGGTCCTTTACTGATTTTCTCTTTATCTTTAATTTCTTTCTCAATATCAAAATATTTTTCATCCTTAATTTCAGTTTCCTTGAAATTTTGTGTACTGACTACAGCAGCTTCAGATTTTGATCCGGCAATCTGTTTAGCAGCATTCGTTTCAAAATCGTCAGAAAGTGCTTTAATTATACTCTCTTCAACTTTCTTTAAAGAAACATTTTTGCTTGTTGTTTTCATTGGTGAAGGAATTTGTTCGGTTACAACTCGATCAACAACAGCAGCAGCAGGCTCCTTATAGTAAAATAAAAATAAATTTATACAAGATAACATAAAAGAATTAAATATAAATGTAATGTAAAATGAAAAATATATTTCTTTTTCAGTTTCCGTTTAATGATCTTAATTCAATACTAATGAATCATTTGAAACTCTTTGCCAATCCAATATAACAAAAATTATTCATCCTTTTAATCAGAAAGTGTTATTTTATTGTTCAATAGTGTAATATCTCAGATTTATTTATTAATCTTATAAAAAAAAAGCCACCAAAATATAAAACTGTAGTACTGCTCAAAATGCTACATTAAACATAATTTTTTAATAGAATAAAATGTTACTACTGTAATATTGATCATGTATGTATTTATGGCTCAATTTTACTTTTAAAAAATGTATATTTATATACAACTTAGAAAAACTTACCTTAACTATCTCATGTTGTGTTGTATTTACACAGGGACGCGTAGTAGGGGTAGTAGGTAAAGGCACTATTGTGGGTGTACCACACATTTGAGTGACACTAGGGGCCATGTTGGCTTGTTCTGGTGAAGTTCCTAATACAGACAACATAAAAATTGGTTTGCAAAGTTGTTTTTAACAAATTCAAAAAATCTTGTTAAAGCTTACCATTGAGACCATTGAAAACACCAGGGTCACGAAACAAAATTGCTTTCAAAAGTTCAGGAATATTTTGTTGATCAACATCCACTAGATCACTGTTTGCATAATGGTCCTTCAATTCACTAAAATAAATGCCAGCTCATGTTAGTTATTACTTTTAGAAATATTCCAATTATAAAATTCTAAATATTTTTAAAAATTGACTTAATGGTGGAATTCTTACATATTAATTGCAGCAGTCTGGTTAAGCGACTGAGTCAGTTGAGGGACTAATGCATCATCTCTTAAGCTTAACAAGATATTTGCTTCTTCAGCTACACGAGGATGAAACAGCAAAGACTTGTTGCTCATAGTTTGAGGGAGGGGTGAAGGAAGTGGCATTTCTGGCAACACTGAAAATCAAATGTTTAAAATGTCAACATCAGAAATTGATAATCCTCAAATATAATAATTACAAAAGTATTATTCGGTTAAAAAAAAGCAATGTACTTATGTTTAAACTACTCATATTATTTTTTGCTGATATTTTACATTTGTAACTTAGCACAGTTAAGTAGTTTACACTTAAACCATACTGCATTAATGACACTACACCAATTTTTTGAAAATAGACCAATTATTTTAAATTTGTGGTCAAACAAGCAGAATTTTAAAAGATCACTAAGTTTATTTCTTATGGATGGAACTTGAAACTTAAAGGAAAACATCTTTCAAACCTCCATGACTGTTTCTATTATTATGCACATATAAACGTATGCATGCATGCACACTTTCTTGTGAAAGATGGGTCAGAATCTCAATAGCATAAGCAATTGACTTCATTTATTAATACGAACAATCCTAATAACCATAAAAATGCATAATTCACTGTACTTACAGTCAGTAAGACTTGAAATGCCTGCCAATGTAGTTATTGGCACACTCGGAATTTCACCGTTCATTCTTAAGTTACTGAAAACATTTCTCCTCAATGCCGTTTTCTTACTACAACCTGGAAAAAAAGAAAAAATATGTATTATTATATATAGCCTATGTGCAAATCAGGTAGTAAGTAATTAAGTGATTTATCATTCAGATTTTAATCATAGATCAGAAAAAAATTCTAATAACTTTTTTGTTCATGACTCACATTGAATTGTAATGAGTAAAATTTCTTGAAAATAAATTTAAATATATTGTCAATTTATTGGTATTTTATTTATTTCACTTGTCATTATTTTCATTTTTTATAGTAAACTAAATTATGAAAATAAATTTGAGATTGAAAGTTAATGTTACAAGCAGGATTCGAACCCATGACTTTCGAATATGTACTCCGATTCTCTACCATTGAGCTATACATTCGGCCCCCTGGGAGACCCCCGAGACTCAACCTACAACTATTTTGAAATTTCTTTCTTCTGTCAGTATCTTTTTATCTCAATTTTTTTTCTCATAATTTAGATAATAGATTTAATATTTTAGTAATTCTCATACTAGATTTAGATTTACATATGGCCAACATATATTTGTAATGCAGTACATATTTACAATAGAATAAAATCAAAATAATGCTCAATGATATGATCTATTTTATGTTTGAGTTATATTTGTCGCTGTGGTCTTTCATTACAAACAATAAAACCGGCAACTTTGGGCTGAAAATGTCAATTCTGTTTAAACAACATAAATAAATTATTAGAAGGAATCATTTTTGTTAAATTGTAATCTTGCTATTATATTTGAATGAAAAATCGTTTTTGTTGTTGTATTTTTAGGAACAAAGAGGAATCATGCATCAAAATGGTTTGCATTAAATTATGTTCTGAAATATAATTAGTGTTATTATAGTAAAGAAACCATAATTTATAGCCTACATAAATACAGCATGAGGAGAATAGGTAGTCTCCAAAACTATCCAAAAAAATTTTGTAATTCAATATTTAACAGAATGGATGGTAAATAACTGATAATTGAACATTTTATTGGTTCTAATGGTCAATAAACAAAGAATAGTATAATAATGGAAATATAATTCTAATGAACTCCAAGAATAATTGGTACTATGGTATCGGTAATTTGGAAATAGTACCACAGTTAAGTACTGTAAATATTTTTTTCCAATCCTCCACTCCATCATGCCTAATGGAAACGCCATACCAGCAGTAGTTAAGTACAATTATAGTGAATCAGAGAAAAAAAAACTAACCTGCTGAATTAATATTAGCTTACAATGTAATCTGCGAGTATTACTAATGTTTATTTACCTTACAAATTTCAGATTACTTCAATTGAACATTGAAAAATTATGTGTTGTCCAACCGATTACAATAAAAAGTTTAGAAAAAAATTACGTCCGAGAAAAATGCATAACAAATGAACAATAAAAACAAAATAAAACCAAACAGGTAAAATTGTAATAACAAAAATCAATACGTCAAATTAGTCGTTAACATTGCCAATCCTTGTGCACTGTTTTAGTGTCAATATTGTGCTTGACTTTCATTTTAACATTATAGATAAAGGTCAATTTTTTGGTAAGGTGGAATATACAAATAAAGTACTAAAGTACACAATTTAATAGTAATCAATTAGCAAAAAAAAATTGGATTTCATGCTGACGGAATTATTTATGTGTGCAGTTTATCATCCCTTTTTTATACAAAAAAGAAAAATTAGATAGTATAAATTTGATTGAAACATAACGGCATGCCGTCGTTTAAGGTTTTAAAAAGTGTATTTGCACTAGTATATTACAAAGAATTATCGAGCATAAATGAATGGAAATGAGCAAATGGTTTTGAACCAAATTAATTCTTACAATAATTCAGACTGCAAAAACCCAAGATAGGCGATTCTCATGGCCTGCTGGTAATTTATTGTAAATTGTAAATGTACATACATGTGCAGAATTGAGCTTATACAAATCAGTAATCAGCAATATAAGTTTATTATAGTAGGGAGCACAATTTTATATGTATCTCTCTTTTTTTTTCTTTTCTTTAAAGCAACTTGCAATTGACAGTTTTATGACATTTTTAAATAATTTACGTGTTAATATTATATTATGTATTATTTTCATGTGTTTTGGGGTAAATTCAATTTTTTTTTCTTTATTTTACATATTTTTATTGCATATTTTACTAAATTATGGGAATTTTAATATTCATTTAAAAATTTTAATTAGCGGTTTGAATGAATGTAGCATAAAAAGTAATATTGTTGTTTTTTATTTTTACTTTAGAAGCATCCTATTTAAGTTTTCAGAAACCCAGCCCCAAACACCGTCAAAAAATAAAATGCAGTAACAAAAATATTTGTAAAAGTCGCACAAAAATCCTTAAAGGAAAGCTATCCAAATTTGTGTCTTACTCATCAGTCTGTTGTTACAATATGACTATAGGCAGCATAATATTATTGAGAGAATTTCTACAAAATAATTTATTAATTGGTGTTGGTTCTTCTACATCCAATAAAAAGTCAAAAATCTGATGAAAAAAGTACACATTATTTGACATTTATTTCAGCACTCTTTTACAATACCATGTGTAATTTTAAAAAAATAAATAAATAAATAAAATAAAATGTCAGTTTATTGAGATAATTTGGGTAGTTAAATCAAGCATTAAATAACTAGACGCAGCCGGAGGATAATTCGACAATAATATAAAAAAGAAGGTTGAAAATCAATGGACTCTAAGAGCTAAAGAACATCTCTGATAACTAGTTGTAGATGAGGGATGTGGTCCAAAGAACAAAACTTTTATAACTTGGCCAAACTTTGTGCGTATATAATTTATAAAGCAGATTTATCAGAGCAAATTTATGGGAAAAAATATAAGAGATCTGGATTCCACATCCACCAGACTCAACGTTAAACGTATATTGTTGTGAAAACTACACATAACAATAAATTATATTAAAATAATTGTAATTTTAGGCGTTTAAAAAGACCTTTTTATCAGCCAAAAAAATTAACAAGTTTATGTGTACTTTTCATAAATTTGCCTTGAGGAAGCCAAAATATATATGCCAAAAACTTGGTAAACTTATATATATTTATATATATTACTTATATAATTTTAATTTTCTCCGATAAAATTGCTAGTTGTGGAACGCTACTTTAGTAAGATACAAATCCATTTCAAGACCTGATCGTTGCCATTTCAATTTTGAAAATGTAAAATGTCATTCCCAATCATTTTAAAGAATGAAATTAGTTTCAATTTGGTTTTCTTTGCATTTTTAAATTTTCTTCTTTTAATCATACCAACTTTATTTTATTTTTGTTTTATTTTCATATTAAATATTGTACTAAAAATAAAGATATATCATGACTTTTTTTTTACACGACAATCCGCTCCCTATTTATAAATGTTTTTATGAACTGCTCTGTCTTCATGTTTTTTTTTATGATTTTGTATTGTAAGCAAGTAAACAAGAAGCAAGAATTTAACAAAGTTTTTGGTTCACCAGGTGCATGACAAAAACTGTGTAATACAAATGGAAAATACCAAAAGGCAGTATACGTAAAATTGCATTAAACTATGACAACATTTGTTCAAAAATACCTTCACATATAGGCTTAAACTGAAAGAATTTATAAGGGCATCAGCAACCGCAACAGTTTAAATGATCATCACCGTAAGGTAAAGGTTCCGGGTTCGAATCCAGAGGCCCTGCATTCGAACCAGACATACTTACAATTTTTTTTTTAATGGCACCCTTGGGGTTGAGATATGACCTCTAATATAGCGAACCCCATTAAAAAAAAAAAAAAGTGTGCTTGATGATAACTATCAATGAAGGGTTTAGTTCAACCACAAACCAGCGCTTTCAAAAGATAGTACAGTAGTAATATACACATATATATTTTTTTTAACATAAATTTGCCTTGATGAAGGTGAAATATAGTGCTATATGCTCATCAAAATTTAAAACATCATGTCATTCCCAATAATTTTGAACAATGAAGATAGTTTCAATTTTGTTTTCTTTGTTATTTTAAAATATGTTCTTTCAATCACATCAACTTTTGTTTTTGTTTTATACTACACATTTCACTAAAAACAAAGACATATTTTGAGTTTTTAAAACACAAAAATCTGCTACCTGTTTATCTTTTTATGGACTGGTCTTTCATTGTTGCTGCATTTTTTTTAACATTGTGGTGGGAAGAATAATTTTGTTTTTAACCAAATTTTCAAAACAAGTGGTGTTGCATCTGATGGAAACTATGAATTAAGCATACAATTCATGACATAATCCTACTACTAATGATGATGATGATGATGATTGCTGAATCCACTGATATTCAACTTTTGATGATGGGAGTTCCACTAAAAAAAACCATCAAACCTCGAAAATTGCAACAGCAATTGTTCCTCGGCTTATAAATCGGTAACGTACACAAGCCAGCCCTTTCCAAAGATAGTTCTTACAGTACAAACTGTATGATCTTTTGAAAGGGTTAATAGCCATACTCACCCCACCTTCAACAATTCTACACGCAAACCAGAACTGTTATATTACATACATATATTTTTTGCATGAATTTTCCCAGAGGACAGCAAAATATATACCGCTGTAAGCTCAGCAAAATTTAAAACACCATGTCATTCCCAATAATTTTGAAGAATGAAAATAATTTCAATTTTGTTTTCTTTGTTATTTTAAAATTTGTTCTTTCAATCACATCAACTTTTGTTTATGTTTTATATGTATCACACATTTTACTAAAAACAAAGACTAATTTTGAGTTTTTTATTAGACGAAAATCCGCTACCTGTTTGTTTTTACGAACTGGTCTGTCATTGTTTGCAGCTTTTTTTTTCAACATTATTGTGGGATATAATTTTGTGTTTAGCCAAATTTTCAAAATAAGTGGTGTTGCATCTGATGGAAACTATCAAATGACAGTTCATGACCTAATCCTACAACTAATTATGAAGATGATTATGATGATTGATGAATCCACTGATATTCAACCTTTAACGATGGAGTTCCAACAAAAAAGTACACCAAATCTCAAAAAAATCATGAAGGTGGAGGTTCTTCGGCTTATGAATTGGCAGTGTATACAAACGGTTTGTTGCAAAACCAAGAGACCTCGTATAAATCATACCGAAGAGCGGTTATCATTGCATATAAATTTTGCTTGGACTAGTGTTAGTGCAGAATAGCTGTACTACAATATAAAACACCAGAATCTTTGAAGATTTACAATGATGATAGGGCTGGGGGAGAGAGGCGTTAGCCTACGCACCGGCAGTACTCGATTAATTTAAGCTTTCGACGTTTTTGGTATAAAATTGAAATGAAATGAAATACTCACTGTCAATGTAAGAGGAATTTGCTCAGAAGGTGTAGAAAACGTACTGAATATTTCAAAACGTAAACAATTGTCTCTGGGCATTTTCGAACTGAGTTGACCAACTAGAATTGTGCTGTAGTTATCCAAGTCGGTCTTAATCCACCCGGAACTGTGAATCGGGCCGATGGCATCCAAGTAGAAAGAACAGATACACCTCGACGGAACGCACGCACAAACACAAACAGTACGCACAGAAAAATAACTATAATAATTAAATAAACGTCCGAGTTGGAGAGAGTCCGTGGAGAGAGGATAAAAGGAAACCGACTCCAAAGGCGAAACGGTTCCTTTCCGTTACGAATTTCCGAGGAGGTAGATCCGCGCTGTGCCCCGTTCGGTTCTCCTTTCCCAACGGCAGTCAAAACTGTAAACAAAAAACAAACTATAAACAAACTGGAAAAGGAGGGCAAAATGATATTTTCAATTTCAAAACACTAGGAAGGTGAAAACCTCTCAGGCTCGGCATTGGATCGAGTCCGGCTCCCGGGTGATATTAATTCGTTATTATTATTCGCCCTGGTCGGGAATATAAAACATATTATATTCCAAGGGGAAAATTTGAAAAGACAATGATAAAACGTCGAGTTTACGGTTTTTGTGAACCGTTTTGTGGGTCATAAACTAACCTGCAAGGCGTTAAACATTCGTCGATCTCGGTTTCCATCTAAAATTATTCGTGCAGCCTTATTTAAAAGAATTTCCCAAACTCACCGGAGTCAAACTAATCCGCCTCTACTGTTTTCATTTTCTTAGAGTGGAAGTGAAAGAATCGAAAGCGACTCCTGGAGTTCCGAGTTATTTTGTAATCAAAATCCAGTCATTATTTTCAATCCGTTTCTATCGCTTTTATCGGTGGAGTTTATTTTTTAATTTCCCACTGAATTCTCACTCTCGTCCGTTTTAAACACAGTTTCACCGGCTGTAAACAAAACCGAATTTGTATTAAATTAGTACGAGCCGAATGTAAATAATGAGAAATATGCGACCACTGTCATGGCAGACGAGAAGAATTGAAACAACAAACCGAATAAACGCCGCTCAAAAACAGTATGGCGGCAATGCCGTCTCTTTCGAAGTCGGCCACTCTCATCCCGCTTCCCGTTTTCCGACCATCCGGCGACAATTCACTCAAACATCATCCCGATTTATTTTAGACGCCCTTTTTACACGAATACACGGTCAATTTCGACCATTTACACGTCGGATCACATTTAACGGACGATTTAAAAAAATATATATATTCACATTCTATTATTTATTTTCCCTTCCCATTTCCCTCTTTTTCCGTACGGGGGGAAATATCCATCGTCCGGCGTATCTCAACGGTTCATGACCTCTAACTTCAAATGAGCCGGTTCCCTTTGTTTTTAAAATTAAAACTTCATTTTATAACGAAAAGATAATTTCCTCATGTTTCCAACGGGGAAAACGGTATTTTTCTGAATGTCGTCATTCTTCTCGGCCGTGAGCAAGCGGCCCACGAAGTATGAAAAACGATGGGGGCACCCATAATCCCTTCCTTCCCTGGCGTATACAGTGGATTTCCCTCATAATTAACATTTCCCAAACATACCAATATAAACAAATGTTATATAATTGGTGTGTTTGGATAAGGAATTTAAGAAAAAAGTTTGTAGATATTAAGGACATTTATTTGATTTAATTTTAAATACATATTAAAACGGTCTTTTGGTTTTTCTTCTACTGCTACTAATCTCATTTCCTCATATCTGACAGAACTCAGAGAGTTAAAGCTTCAATTCTATCTCCTCTTATCTCTCAATTTCATCTGGTGTACCCCAAGGCTCTATTCTAGGACCTTTACTCTTTTCCTTGTTCCTAAATGATCTTCCATTAGTTCTCGCAATTTCATGTATATGCTGATGACAGCTATACATTCTAAGTAGTCTCACACGCTCTTTCACTCTTTCTGTCTCCCTGTTCTCACTTGCACCTCACTCTGCCATCTCTGTATTCGATAACACCACAGTACAACCAACATCTCTGAAGCTGTCTCTCTGCTCAACCGTGATCTTCATTCCCTCAATCAATGGCCAAGTAATAATGGCATTATTTTAAATGCTAACAAATCCCAGTTCTTTTAAAAAAAAATTAATTAAGATTGCATATACCCTGTTCATACCAACAGCTCCACCATTAATTTTTATCCAAAATTAAAAATCTCTGGGTTATTTTTAACACCAAGCTTATATGACCTGACCATGTGAGCTCTTTTATTAAAATCTACTCTAGCCTCCCTTCTCTTGACGCCTTAGGTTTTTCACCCCAATGAAAACTAGAGTTCTTCTTATTAAATTCCTAATAATTCCTTTATTCTCTTAGACACACAATTTGCTCATCTTCTTTTCTTCCCTCTTCCTTTTCTTTTTTTCCCGATTCCTTTTTTTTCCTTTCATAATGTGATTTCATAATTTGATTGCAAATAATTAATATTTTAAAGAATATATTATTGTCATTATTATTTTGTATATTTGATTGTACGTTTCATTATTATATATTTATAAAACTTAATTTATTTATAATATAAGTACATGTAAGGGGGTTTAAAGCCCTATTCGTACTTTTAAAACAAATAAAACTAAGTTTATAAGCGCATAGAATGCTAAAATTGCTGGACATTAATATAGGATATGTGGTCTCTGGTTTATTGCAGGATTGATAAGCAATTTGAAGGTAATTAGCAGATTGAGAGCCTAAAATAAGTGAAGACATAGCGTTACAGTAAAAGAATATATTAGGGATTTTATAAGAAGAACTTTTGTTTTCTGTGGAATGAAAAAGCTAAAGCATTAAAGAAAATGGAGGCTTGAATAAACCTTTTTAAAAATAGAACTCATATACACATGCCATATAAGCTCAGAGTTAAAAATAATGCCAAGATTTTTAACTTTAGGACAAAAATTAAAAGTGAATTGATTTTTTTTTTACCATTGATTGAGAGAATGAAAATCACGGTTGAGCTGAGAGATAGTCAGAAATGTTGCTTGTACCACTTGGAACGTAAAACTGAATGTGTACTTGGAGCGTAAAACCAATGCAAGATCATTTAGGTATATAGAAAAGAGTAAAGGTCCAAGAATAGAGCCTTTGGGGTACACCAGATGAAATTGAGAGAAAAGAGGGGATACAATTTGAAGTTTTAACTCTTTGAGTTATGTCATACAAGTTTTTTATATAACATTTGATTTTTTTGTACAAGGTTTTAAATACATATTTTACAAAATAAAAAAGAAATGCAACAAATTATAAATAAAATAAAGTTGTACAAATTAAATTAATCAATATTTTTTAAATAATTAAAATCAATACATTAAAACATCTTTTAAAAAAAATTTAAAAATAATTTTTTTTTAAATTCATATTGATTTAAAATTAGAAAATTTAAACCTGTTTCTTTGAGCTAATCACAAAGCAGCATAAGATTTATTAGTAGTATACATGTTAATATTAAATTATATCTAGTCAGGTACAGTTTATTTTTAGAAAGAGGAAAAGTATTTGTTTTATATAGATGATAAAAATGATAAGTATGAAAATAATTGGTCTATACTAAAAACAGAAAAGTAATATATATTTGTTTCAAAATTACGATTATTATCAAATGTGATATTTAGGTACTTACATGTTTTAACAAATTTTATAGTCACCATCACATTTTTTATCTCTTTGTTTCAAACAACACTTGGAATGATTCACTAGGCTTAATTTATAACTTGTATTATTTATAATGATAAAATGTGTTAACGATATGTTATTAATATTACTGGACAAGTAATTTGATGCAAAACAGTTTTTTTATGTTATTACATATAATATTTATATATTTTGTACATATTTTTTTTTAAATTATTGCATAGAATTTGAAGGGATGTATTATCAAATATAAAGGCAGTATTGTCTGCAATACAAAAAGGTGCAGAATTTAGAGGAATTTTAATTTTATGTACAGAAAGAATATAATAGGTACTATAGCTATTCCTTGTGGGACACCATCTTTTAATGTTAAATTATTACTATGACTATAATTTATTTTTTCAAATTGTTTTCAGTCTTTAAGGTAAGATTTGGAAAGATCAAAGGTAGTCTGCGCCATCTTTATTTTTTATTTTTTCATCTTTAATTTAATTTCTAATAAGATATCACCATCTATACAATCAAAATCCTTGGTAATATCTAAAAATATACCAATTACTTTTCTTTTTTCAAATTTTCCGCTTTTTATTTAGTGATATTAAATAGTGCATAAGGTATTGAAAGAACAGATTGAAATCCATATTGTTTATTTGATATGACGTTATTTCGTAATGTAAAGTCTTGCTGGATTTTTGCAGCTTTGAGTACTCTATAATCAAGGGTGTTAGGGATCTTTGTTGATTAATCCACAGTATTTAATACAATAAACAAAAAATTATTAGATAGCCTAAAGAGCATTGAAGCTCTGCAATTTACCAGGCATATTTTCAAAGTAATCTTGCAGATAGAAAGGTAGTAGTAAAAGTGGGAGGTCTTACAGTGGGCCTTTTTCCATTGATAAAGGAGTTCCTCAAGGGTGTGTCCTTGGGCTGATTCTTTATAACATCTATACAAATGATTGCTACAATATGGTTGTCACTGATGAGCAATTTTCATACAGAAGAGGACCTAACCCCTGTTGAACTCCAGAATTAATAAAGCCAATGTCAGATCATAACCTCTGTTTCATAAATCCCATCATTTTAGCTTTATTATTATTATTTTTTAACTAATATCTAAAACTTGCAGAAAGTTCTTGGCCTTAATCATAATTTTATTTAAGAAAAAATTGCCATCAATTTGTTTGATTTGCTAGTAGTACTGAAAAAATAGTATTTATTGGTGAATGTTAGAAGTCAATAAAAAAAAAAAAAACCAAAATAACAGATAAGTGTATAAAAGTTGATGATAAAACTATAATAACCATGATAAAAAATTATTACAAAGTTGAATATTCAAATCTTCCTAATATCATTCTTAATAATAATGTTATCCTTTTTCATGATTCCGTGGGAAATCTTGGTGTAAAATTTTCCTCTGACCTTCCTTGGTTGTTGCATATTAATGACATCAACAGAAAAGTTTTCTATTCCTTATTTTTCCTAAGATGCGTGGGGAGTTGTTTGAGTACTTTGGTTTGTTCAAATCTAGTCAAAACTCTTTTCCTCCCCTACTCCATCTTCTGTTTACCGTTGTTTATTTTTTTCCTTGTCTTTTATTCAAATATCTCCATTAATTATCTGTTTTAACAATTGTGCTCATTGCACATGATCTCCCTCCACGTTCTCATAAACTGCTCAAAAATGTATTGCAATTTATTAGAAGTTATGTTTTTTACTGAAGGAAAATTTAATTAAGGAATTTTGAAAAATAACAAAATAAAATATGTTTATTCCATAATTTTGTTTATTGGACACAATATTTTTTTTAAACAATTAATACTGTGTATAATGTCCTCTGCTAGCTAACACTGTGCTCCTTTTAGGCAGACTGCTAATAAGGTTGTCACTAATTTCATGAGGAATTTTACTACAAAGATGTTGCAACGTTGCATTAAGTTGTTGCAGGTCAACTGGCTGTGGATAGTGATCGAAAAGTCTTCTCTGCAACACATCCCACATGTGCTCAATGGGATTGAGGTCTGGAGACAATGGGGCAAGGGGCAGATGGGAAATCCTCAGGTTTTCTAAACAATGAATGAACATCTCTGCCTCTATGAGGTCTGGCAAGAAATTGAAAATCCCTGCCAATGAGATGCCTGGTTTGAGGGATGTATTCCCGATTTCTTGGACATAACAGACTGCAGTGAGGTTACCTTCAACAATGTGGAGTCTAGTTCGTACTCCAGTGTAAATCCTAGCCCAGACCATTACACCACCTCCTCCAACCTGAACTGAAGGGGCATGAACTGGAACACTGTATGCATCTCCTGTTCTCGGTAGACTCTTTGGAACCTGCTATCACTATATAGACAGAAACACGACCCATCAGTAAACAACAGAATTCCAATTGGTGGAAAAATAGATACTTGCTGCACCATATTCTCCTGAGTTGCTGGTGACGGTTGCTGCAGGTCTTCTCAAATATGCATACGATGTGAAGCCAACTTGATTTGTAATCATTTCTGTTGATAAAGGCATTGCCAAACCATCTTCATTTAGGATCTGGCGGGTTTCATCTTGCAGCAATGACAATATTTCTGTCCTCACTTAGCCTCGTAATGAGCTGAGATCCACTACCAGGCATCCTATTGGCACTTCCAGATTCTCGGAATCGAGTTAAAGCATGGGTGATGGTTATGAGGATACTAGGAAGCAGGGTGGTGCTCCCCAGGCACTGCAGCCTTCTGGCTTATTATACCTCCCTAGTTCCCTAGTTCAATGCAATAGACTCAATCCTTCTTCTCAGAAGTATCAGGTCATTGACTGTTGCTGGTACAATTTCATTCCCTAGGGGTTTTTTTTTGTACGTTAGGTCTCTCTCTCCATTGAGCCGTTGCTTCGCATTCAAAGATGAAATGGGTGGATGTTTCCTCCTCATTGCATAAGCTAAAGCCTGGGAGACGATGCTCTGAGAAACACCAACTGCCTCTACAATATCCACTTGCCGGTGATCTTGATGCCTCATCCTCCCAATAATTGCGAATGTCTGCTTCAAGATGATGTCTTTGCATGGTTAATACAACTAGATTAAAATGGATAAAAGACTAGAGACAAAATGAGTAATCTTCATGTTTACTATTCTTAAGTAAATTTGTTATTTAAAATGAGGATTAACATTTGCTTGTTTTTAGTTTGTATTTTCTATTTTGTTTTATTCAACTAATAAGAATATATCAGTTAATTTAATTAAAATTAATAGAATAAGAATAAATTACAAATATCCCTATTCATTTTTGAGTTATTTCGGAACATGAAAAATCTATTCTTGTACCATATTTGTACCTTTAAAATAAATATTTGAGGATTTTTATTGCATATAAATCAGGGCTGTAGTTATGAACATGGTCTTATTGTTTGAAAATGAGACGCTCAAGTACCATAACTACAGAAATGTGTATAAAAAAATATATTTATAGACGAGTCATGGAAGATCATCACCCTTGAATTTTGCCCTTCCCCACTCTTTGGGAACCTGTGTAACTGAGGTTCCCAAGACCCCGGCCAGGCCAGTTCGCTTCGTTTGAAGGCAAGGCACCTGTTTCGCTGTTCCCAACTCCGACCCATACGTCAACAATCGACACCGACCTTACTTCGTCATTCAAGTTTTTTAATACTTGGCTTCCAGTGTCAACCAATTGTATTTGATCGATCCTCCCCACTTTCTTTGTCGACGTTTCAAAATATGCTTAATCAGTGAGGGGATTATATATTTTTTTTCGCCTTCGTTTGTTGTCAATATTCGTTGTCATCGCCATTGAGATTGCTCGGCAGAAACTGACTAGTGACGGCTCGACTGACATTGTCACTGAGGATCTATGAACACACTGTAAAAATCCACTCATTTCTAAAAATTGAAACTACCTGTCGGATTTGTATTTTTTAAATTGTTAATAATAAAATGTTGACACCGATTAAAGTCTACGTCGTTGGTGTCGGAATGACAAAAGTAAGTTGTTTTTCTTTTCTTTAAGTATTTTTATATACAGAACCTTTTTTTTTTTTCTTTATCGCAATTATAAATTATATATTTTACTTTCAGTTTTATAAACCTGGCAAAACGGATCGAGATTATCCCGATCTTGCCAAAGAAGCCGTTCTCAAAGCATTGGATGATGCTGGAGTTGACATTTCTGAAGTCAAATCTTCATGCGTCGGATATGTTTACGGTATGAACAAAAATTATAAAAATACTTTTTTTCTTTTTTTATGTGTGCATGTGTTTGTATGTCGTTTTGGCTGGAACGTCCTTCAAAATCCCCAATTCTATAATTATCCAGTCATTATCTTTCAGTTAGAATCTCTCTTGTTATTTTCTTTAATAAACTATTGTTTTTCTCGTATCTAATATTTTTTATTAGAGTTTTGCAATTCAGATGGTCTATTTTATAACAGCAGCTTGTTTACAAACATCGCAAAAGAAAAAAAAATCCATACAGAGATTGTTTTATCCAATTAGATAGGTAGATAGATAAAAAAGTAATATTTTGGTTTTTATAATATTTAATTAGTAAAAATAGTGACATTCGTTAGTTGGAAGTACAGATTGCAACAGCATGATTGAAAACCATCTGCCGAAGAATGCATTAAGATTTTTTTAAAGGGATTATGAATGGTAAAAATCCTTTCCTACACTGCCTCCTAAATATATCTATTTTTTTTAAATTTTACGAGGGTTCGCAACAGCAGAGGTCATATAAACCCTGGGGGTACCGGTGTTTTTGAAACAAAGCCCATTTGTAAGTATGTTGGGTTCGAATGCAGGGCCGCTAGATTCGAACCCGGGACCTTTACCTTACAGTGATGAGCGCCGTGTCAACGCCTAAACGTTGCGGCCACCGACGCCCCAATAGATCTATTGTGGAACCCGTATAATTTATGGCCATAGATTGAAATGTGCGTTTTTTCCTAGAAGACGAAGTGCTTTGATTGGTGCCTCTTCACTTAGCTCTTTTGGTGTCAGAATTGCTTTACCGAAGTGGTTGTACTGTAAGCAGGCTAATGCTTCACATTCACAAAGGAAGGTCGACATGTCTCGTTCCTCCTGACAGAGTTGGCTTGCTTCTGTGTCCTGCTCTGCCCATCTTTTTTTGGTTGATAGTTAACAGGGCAGTAGCCGGTATAGAGGATTTGATTCGCTTTCCTTTTTGAGAGATTTATAAATCTCTTAGTTTTCCTCATACCTGCTTCTTTTGAACAATGTTAGAGTTTTTCTTTCTCAAGCCGTTTTTCTAATTCTAAGGTTATCTTTAAGATTAATTTTAAGGTAATATTATTCTGCTTTTCCAGAATTATAATGCAATTTAAGCACTCCCAGACAAGTTTGGAGATGAAAGCGTAAACATTTAGTGCCTTTATGGTTGTCTGACTGTCTGAGAGTAAATCTGTGCACCTTTCATATTTTTCTTTATTAACTCCTGTGAACAGATTTGTATTATCTCAGCTTGGAAAATGGTTGGGATTTCCAAGGGGCTTAGCTGGAGAGTAGTTCGGCCTTTTATTACAACCCCTGTTCCATCTTCGATACATCTGTGTATCATATATGAAACTCAGGGCCACCTTTCCTCCGAACGTCCAAGTTTCGGACGAAGTTGCGAGTTTCAAATGCAACAAAGTAAAATAATTTAGGATTTCCACCGGAAATAACTTTAATTTTATAAAAATTCATACCTGTAGCTCCAAGCATTGCAAGCAAAAGAAACTGTTTTTACATTTGTGCCATGTAAAAACTCTAAGCTCGACCCATGTCAAAACCCATTTTTCAAGATGAAACCGTGAATTTCTCCCAAGATAGAGCATTAAGCCAAAAAATGAAAATCATTCTCATTTCAACCTGAGTTGCAGAGAAAACATTGGCCATCTTACCTCCTGCTCCACGGAACCGAATTCAGGAAGAGTGCCCTACATCTCCATTTCAAGAGCACTGCAAATCCAGAAACCTCAATTCGCTTATTTTAGGCTGTACTCAAAGGTACAAGGAATAATTAAGCTCGCAATATAACAAATTATCTGAGCCCCAGGCTCTCTGCAGGCACCTCTCCTAGATTCGAAGGGAAATTCTAGAGAGTAATTAATCAAATTTCCCCAGCCAAGAAGATAATTGTTTAACATAATACTCATTTGCAAATCATTCTTAGTAAAAAGCACTCTCAACACAACACGCAAGAATGGCACAATTACGCAGAAAACAAACACTTTGAGCCCTGAAGATGATCTCAATAAAGATCGAAACGTTGGCACGGTAAAGAAATGCTTTTCTGAAAACTACAACACACCAGACCACATATCACGATTTTCGAATAATCTTAGTAAAAAGGCTTTGCCACTGAACAAAGCAGGCAATTTTTGGTTTAATTATCCCTGCCGGTAATTCTAGAAAGTCTAGTCTTAGGCAACAATTTTTTTTTCTAATAAAAGAAAAATGAATCTTCAGGGTATAAACAAAAATCAAATCCACTGAAGCCTCTAGATAAAGCATATAGTTCTGGGCAATAAAAATAGCTTTCGAAGGAAGAAACTATTAAACTTCTGTAATGCTTTGTTTCTTTGGTAACCCCAAACTTGACAACCATAGCATAAAATGACACAACAAATAGTAGTAAAAATACGATATTTTTCTCGGATGGGAATGTATTCCTGTTTTAAAAGACCCGACCAAGTTCTGTTTAGGGATGGTTAGGGTTACCGCTGTTTAGCTGTGGGAATCTTCTTCACTAGGTGGGAGTTAAGAGATAATTGTGTGGTGTCAGACCTAAATACTTGTAAGATTTAACCACTTCAATCTCCTGATCTTTGAAAAACCAACATTCACTGGAGGCAACTGAACCACCTTTACGGAAAATGAGATTTTTCTCTTTAAAAGTTTATTGAGAGATTCCACTGGTCACAATATGTCACCAATAAATTAATATTAAGTTGCAATACAACAGGGTAGTTCACAGCTACATCATCAGCATACAAGAGGAACTTAATTAGAGTAACACCAATACGTATCCCACAGTCAAGTGCTAAAGAAAAATTGAAAAAAAAGTGAAAAGTAAAGGACTCAGCCAGCAACCTTACCTAACTCCACAAAGAACCTCGAAAAACTCTGTAACCCTCTCCCTGCCCTAACAGCCTCCATAGTACAAGAAAACATTCCTCTAAGAAGATTTAAAATCCTTGATGAAAAGCTCAAATTGACCAATTTTAGAACCAATGCCCAACGATCAATTGAGTCAAAGGCTGCTTTAAAATCCACGAAGAGGCAATGTACCATTTATTTATTTCTCTGGGTCTTTAAGTCAGTTACATTAGTGAGAACAAATTATCCATTGTTGAGTAACCCTTACGTAAACTCATCTAAAACAAATAACATGGCTAAGACCCCTACAACTATGCTAAAATTATATACTACCTAAACCTACTGTTGGGAGTTGGGCAAGGCCATTTGATGCCTCCCTTCATTCATGTCAATAAATACATTCACACACAGTAAAAATCATGCATTCACTATCCTAAGTTAGTCTAATTGGTCCGACCGATCTGTGATTACTTGATATTCCACACATATTGTGTCCGTACTTAACCACTCACACAAATACATACATTCACACAATTGGGTAGTCACTAGGGTTTTTGATATTATGATGATATTAGTGACTATTTCACTATCAAACTGAAAAAAAAAAAAATCAACCTATGTAGAAGGTGCTTCCTATTTGCAACCATATACATTTATATGCTAGTATCGAATCAGCTCTTATTATAACCACTACTGCGCTTTAAAAGTTGTTTAAAGCCTGCAGGCAGCCCACAGCTTATTCTTTGCAGCACTAATTCCTTGCACTCTGTTAATATGGGGGTTTCGGTGTTTTTTTTTAAAAAAGCCCATTTGTAAGAATGTTAGGACCCTTACAGTGATGTCAACATGTTTTCTGTTACAGCCAACAGATTGATGTTTTAAAATCCGAAATAGTAGTTGCATAACTGGATTGGAAAGAAAGAAAAGAAAATTGAAATAGCAGTTAGTGGACACTGTTTCTTTATCTGTATGTCTGTTTATTTAGAACAAAGTCCTTTTTGTAAAATATGAATTTATTCAAGTCAAAGGTTTGATTGGTATAAATTCTTATCTTAACTAAACAAATTTTTTCTTCGATTTTAATATTATTTTAAGCACTGCATTTCATCTCATTGACTCATTTGTATATTTTCGTCTGGAATATGAATAAATTTCGCATTTAATTATTTTTCATTTTTCACTGACTTTTTTCAAACAACAATGAGTTCATGATTCAACGAGAATTGATAAACTGACTGATAACATTTTCTGTCCACAAATCTTTGGATTAAAATTGTTATACTTTAAAACATATATTACAAGTTTTCTATTTATTTATTTTTTTAATTTGATAAAGTTGTTGCTCTTTTCGTATTATTTTGCCCTCTTTTTTTTCTTTTATAGTCATACCTCCTTTTATTCTAGTCATATTTTTGGGTTATAATTATTTTCAGGTAAACATTTGAGTTTTAATTGCGATGAGGGGGAGTAAAATTGTTTAAAAAATTGATTTCTTAGATGGGAACTATGAATGAATAAAAATCGGTGCCCACTTTACACACACACTTTAGAAAACAAATATAAACACACTCTCTTGTCTCTTTCATGAAACTTAAGTTTCCTTGATAATTAAATTTAATAAAAAGCTTGGATTTTGTTTATGAATAAGTCATGTATATCTTTATCAAAATGTATAAGTAATTTTCAAAACACCTTTGGAATTAGATTTTTGTGTCACATTTAAAGAATTACATGGCTTCAATGAACGAAGCGCAGGTCAAATAAAAATTACTCATTAAAATATTAAATATTCAAGAAAAGAGGAGGTTTAGTTTAAGTTAAATCGTGTCTGTTGCATTGTATAATCTTTTCTGATTCATACTAATAATTATTTTGATCAGATTTTTTCACTACTGATTCATCCAGTTATGAAAGGCCCATTGTCTTCAGAAACTCCACACTCAAAAAAGGATGTTCTATTCTGTTTTATATTTCAAAATATCGTACCTATGTCTTTGTTATTTTTAATAATCAATTAAATGCTTATTAAGAATTATTTATCATCTTTTAAGGTTCAAAGTCACTTCTGATAGTCTATTTTAATCATATTGATAAAAAGTCAATGAAAGTTATGTCTTAGAATTTAAATTTTTTTGCAGAACTTTGTTTCCTTCTCATTTTTATGTATTTTCAATTAAACGTCCCATTCTTTGAACAACACAGGCCTTAAATTTTTTACACTGGCCGAGTTCAGTCACACCTCCCAACCATGTCATGTGCACTACCAGGTCATGTCTGAACTTCTAGAGGCTGTCTATGGTAGAACATTAATTTGCACTGTGTAAAAGTATTCATTCACAACCCGAGTTACATAGAGACATTGACATGCTTTGGCAAAAATTGTTCACCAATAAATGGAGCCAATTCCACTACTATTGTAAGCCCTAGGCTGATGTCAACTTGATGGGATCATCTAAATTTACATCGCCCCAACTCGTATTTATGGTGAAAAATTGCATGCAGCATATTGATTTCCTTGTCTTTTACACACTGTGTATAATGACCACAGAGAAAGCCCGGACTATAGTCAGTGACCAAAACATGGTAACATCCTTCAGCTGTCTATTCCCAATGTGTTATGGACCATGGTGAACTGAAACCTCGAAATATTATTCTCTGAAAAAGGGACCTGTCGCTTGACAGTGGAACAACAGACCTTATTTATCTTAGTCTGAAATTTTGATGTTTCTCATTTATTAGTCATACGTTAAGGTTCAGCCCGGTGCTGTTTCATTCTTGATGGTTGTTCGGATGATAAAGTATATCTTCAATAGCATGAATATTATAGAATGCGAGGAAATGATAGATTGATTCTGTGATTTCAGGTTGGATGCAGTCCTCATAATTTAAAATCACTCTCTTATAAAATCCTCTTTGCAGATGTAAAATGTTGTAATCCCCAAGATTTAAAAAAATGTATTGATTTTAAAAATAAACAATAAAAATGAAGAAATAAAAAGGCGCATATAGGATGGAAGAAAATTGTGAAAATAATTAGGGGCCTAAAAAACAAAACTCAAATGAGGGGGGCAACACGGATGAGTGAAAACACGGATAACGAGAGTACTGTACTCAGTAAAACAAGGCCTAAGATTATATGTATAATTTTAATTATAACTGAACGTGTAAATTGTTTCCAATAATCCTCATCTGCCAACTCTTACTGGTTTTGGATTTCAGGCGAATTGCCTTATGCGTAAATAACACACAGTCCAACAAATGAAGATGACAAAATGAGTTTGACAAACAAAACCAGAAGTTGGCAAACCAGGATGATTGAAAACAGGTTGAAATTATTTTATTTTTTACATATCAATCAACCAAACAGTTTGATTTTTTTAAATTCTATAGGATATTATTTAATTGTAAATTTTAATAAACCAATTGCCATTCTTGTTACTATATTTACCATATATTTGCACTTATTTTCCTTACAGGTGATTCTACAAGTGGTCAAAGAGCTCTCTATGAAGTTGGCATGACAGGCATCCCTATATACAATGTAAACAACAACTGTTCAACTGGTTCGACTGCGTTGATGATGGCAAAACAAATTGTTGAAACGGGTCAAGCAGACTGTGCTTTGGCTCTAGGCTTTGAGAAAATGGAACCTGGTTCTCTCACATCCAAAGTATTTATATTATTTTAATTATTTTTTCTCCCGATTTTAAGGTTTTAATTCTAAATGAAACCCCCCCACAGTTTATGGATCGGACAAATCCGATGGACAAGCATGTTGAAGCTCTTGCAGATATTGCTGGACTCGACGCAAGTCCTATTACAGCTCAATTGTTTGGAAATGCAGGGCTTGAACATATGGAAAAATATGGTACAAAACCTGAACATTTAGCCAAAATCGCTTACAAAAATCATAAGCATTCCACCAATAATCCGTAAGTGAAAAAAAATTATATATGATTCTTTTCAATGCTATTTTTAGTTAAAAGTTACATATACTCGAAGTAGGGATCAACCAGCAGTTCTCAAGTTAGCATCCAAATAACGATGTTTACTCTATGTACATTTATATTGTTCGTTCTTGCCATGTAGTTCAATTCTTCAAAATCTTAGTTTATATAACTTAATTCATTTAGTGTACTTTTCTAGGTATTCCCAATTCCAAACAGAATACTCCTTAGATGATATAATGAAATCTCCGACTGTATTTGGCCCATTGACTAAATTGCAGTGCTGTCCTACATCTGGTTTGTTTCCTTTTCTGTGTATATGTACATATAATGTGGAAAATTGTACTTTAATTTTATGATTTCTTTTCAAAGACGGTGCTGCTGCTGCTGTACTTTGTAATGAAGATTTTGTCATCCGCCATGGATTGCAGGACAAAGCGGTTGAAATAGTTGGCATGGAAATGGTCACAGATCTACCTTCTACATTCCAAGATAAAAGTTGCATGAAAATTGTAAGTTTTGTTGATGTTATTGGTCATTATAATAAATTAAATAATTAGTGTTTACTTGAGCAATTAAAACTTGTTCTATGTAATTTACTGCTTTCATTATATCGGGTTGTCCGGAAAATAATGCAGGATTTTAAGTTTTCATTAAAAAAAATCAATATAAAATATTCTGTTTACGTTTACAGGATTACTCATTTGTATGAATGTCAACACTTATTAATCCTCTTCCAAATGATATTGTTTGTTTACCTCTGTAGCATTCCGCTACTTGGAAATAATTCAGTCATCCTTATAATGTCAAAGCGAGAATTTCGTACGATTTTCTTTTACGAGTTTAAACTCGGCCGAAGCGGAGCCCAAACGGCTAGAAACATTAACCAAGTCTGGGGCGAGGGTTGTGTTAATGAGTGCACTGTGCAAAGGTGGTTTAAAAAATTTCGGGAGGGAGATTTCAGCCTTGAAGATGAAGAAGGTCGTGGAAGGCCTTCCTCTCTTAATGATGATGTTCTGCGATCAGTGGTGGAAGAAAACCCCAAAACAACTGTTCGAGAACTTGCAGAGCAACTCAAAGTCAGTAAAACGACCGTCGCTGACCACCTCAAGGCGATTGGAAAAGTGAAAAAACTCGAAAATTGGGTTCCACACTCATTAAACGATCGCCAAAAAAATCAGCGCTTTGATGTTTGTGCATCACTTCTTTGTCGAAACAAAAATGACCCATTTCTGGCCAGAATTGTTACATGTGACGAAAAGTGGATTCTCTACGATAACACTAGACGTTCTGGACAGTGGCTCGACAAAGGAGAAGCTCCAATACATTTTCCAAAGCCCCCAACTCATCAAAAAAAGGTAATGGTTACGGTATGGTGGGCTTCATTTGGTTTAATACACTACAGCTTCTTAAATCCTGGCGAAACCATCAATGCTGAATCATACTGTAACCAAATTAATACCATGCATCAGAAATTGGCAGTAATGAAGCCCTCTTTGGTCAATCGGAAAGGGCCCATTTTGTTGCATGACAACGCTCGACCACATGTGTCACGTGTAACGTCACAAAAATTATTGGAGCTTGGCTATGAAACTTTGCCTCACCCACCCTACTCTCCGGACCTCTCGCCTACTGACTACCATTTTTTTAGACACCTGGACCACTATTTACAACACATAATATTCAAAAATCAAACGGAACTGGAAAATGCATTTATTGACTTTATCAATTCTAAAAATTCTGAATTCTACTCAGACGGAATTAATAAGTTACCAACACGTTGGGAGAAATGTATTGAGAGTATGGGAAATTATTTTGATTAAAGAACATTGCTTTAAAGTAACTAGTTTCTTTTTTTTTGTTTAATACCAAAATCCTGCATTATTTTCCGGACAACCCAATAATTTTAAAAAATTAAATTTTGTAATAATAGTTATGAATTATAATATACAAGAAATATTATATAGATAATAGTAATGATGGCCGGGTCTAGAAGAGAAATGGCTATACTTACATAGGTCATACTAGGTTTACACATGGGCACTTACTGAGAGGAAAGAGATCGCATCAGTGCCCAGTATGCACCATAAGATTAACCGTTGAGCATATTTTACAATTCAAAAAACTTGTGTATGCGTGCGTGCGTGTGTGTGTGTGATGGTTGGGTGTGAATGTATATTATTATTGTGACTGAGGGGATTATCCCCCAACCTGATGAATAATAAGTACTCTGGGGTGAAAATGTTGTTTGGAGAGTGAAGGTAATTTATTAGCGTAAATGCCCCGAGTAATAACAAGTACGCTGGGTGAGTGGAAGTGACCACACTTGTCGTGTTATGGGAAGTGAAAGGATATCAGCATCGTCAGACATGAGAATCAGTGACAAAGATGTGCAAAAAAAAAAGATGAATTTTCCATGTAAAGCACAGAAGGCCGGCAATGGCCAATTAATGTTTGTCGGCCCATAAATAATAGTACTTCTACTACAACTACTAATAGCCATTTTTTATCTTTTCTGTTTGCTGTAAGATTATAATATTGCAATTGTCAGTAAATGATATGCATACTTTTTTTAGGTTGGTTATGATATGACTAAGACAGCTGCAGAAAAATTGTTTACCAAGAGCGGATTTTCACCGAAGGATGTTGATGTTGTCGAACTCCATGATTGTTTTTCTGCTAATGAATTAATTACATATGAAGCCTTGGGTTTGTGCCCACCGGGAAAAGCTAGTGAATTTATTGACTCTGGAAACAATACTTATGGAGGAAGGCATGTAGTTAACCCTAGCGGAGGTCTAATATCAAAAGGACATCCTTTAGGTGCAACAGGTGAGAAATTTGGACAGTATTTCTGAAAGACATTTTAATTATTGTTTGTTAATAACCTTACCACAGGATTAGCACAGTGTGCAGAATTGTGTTGGCAACTCCGTGGAGAATCTGGGCCAAGGCAGGTTTCCAACGCTAAGCTTGCACTACAACACAATATTGGACTCGGAGGCGCTGTTGTAGTCGCATTGTACAGGCTTGGATTTCCCGAAGTTCAAAGGTAATTGCTAAATAAAATTAAATGTATTCATCTAGTTTGCTCATAGTTGTACACGATACACAGTATGTATTTTCTTTTTAACAGGTCCCGTGTAAGAATGAACCCCACAAATGCTGTAGTGTCTGACCCGTCCATTTTTAAAGTTACCAAGTTGTTTGAAATTCTCGAAGGTGCGATGAAAGAAGATGAAGATAATTTGATTGAAAAAGTCAGAGGCATATACTGTTTTAAAGTTAAAAATAGCACTGGCCAAGAAGGAATGTGGATTATCAATGCAAAGACGGGCAAAGGCAGTGTAACATATAATGGAAAAGGTTAATTCATTAATTTTAATTTTTATTTATTAATTAAATTTGTTCTACAGACATATTACACTGTATAGACGTTTTTATTGTTGTTAACACTTCAAATATATTTACACAATTTTTTTAATTGAAGACTTTTTTGAGAGTCTTTACTAGTAAATATTAAATTTTTTCACTTAAGTTAACAATAAAAATATCTAGACAAGCTTGTTTTATTAAATGCTGTTGAAACAATTGTTTCATATTCCATTATGGAATGTATGATTGATTAGTCTTATAATCGATAAAAAGGGAACGAAATCAAATAATAAAATGCTTAATAAAAAATTTTAATTGCCAAATCTCAATGACGACCATCAGGGCTGAACATACTAATTATTATAAAAAATGGAACATTTAGTCGGAATTAAGTTTTATGTTTCAGTTTATTATTCCATACAATTTTTTAAGGTTGGTGCAATAACTCAAATTTAAATTCATTGATTTTGTTTTTATGGGGACCACACTTGAGAATAAGGCAGGGCGCACATCAAACAAATTGTATTATGAAACCAATTTCATGATGTTGTCAGATGAAAAAGCTGTTATTCTTTGGTGGTGAATTCAGGAAAAAACTGGGTTTATCCCTTAATACAACATCGAGAGCACAGTTGTCATGTAGTGGCTCAAGAACCAAAAAAAGTTACAAAGGTTATACAATAAGCCTCTTTTTGAACAATTGCTAGAAATTGGTTGGCCCTCACATACTGAAAAGGAATACATACGATATACCAATTGGCTGTATGAAGTAAAAACTAATAAATAACAGAGTTATGTTTAGCAGGGGCAGAGGTTTCTTGAAACTCGAGTTTCATGAAATGCAGTGTGTATGTCTATGCTTTTCAATCAAACATTTTTACAAAAGTAATTCAGATATCGTGAGATGCGGTCGGGTGTGAAGTAGGTTTCAGAAAAACATTTTCTTTATCGTGCCAACGTTTCGATCTTTTATTGAGATCATCTTCAGAGCTCAAAGTGTTTGTCTTCTGTGTAATTGTGCCATCCTTGTGTGTCGTGTTGAGAGTGCCCGACAAGGATGGCACGATAAAGAAAATGTTTTTCTGAAACCTACATCACACCCGACCGCATCTCATGATATCTGAATTACTGTCGATTAACGGTCACTAATCTCTACACATTTTTACGAAACTTGAAATTCAGGTTCCATTAAATCAGTTTCTTTTTAGAGTGCACCCTGACCAAGAATGAAGGTATTGATCCATTATGCTCAATACTATTGTGCGACTCGTGTCATTTTTAATATTCGGTTAATAACTTTTATGGAAAGGAGCAAAAAAAATTAAAATTAAATCATATTAGTTTGTAAAATGCTAAGAGGTATCATTAATCATTGTTATAATTTTTTTTTCTTGGTAAAAAAACGTGTTTCTATGAGATTATACTTTTTGCCTTTAGTTAATATAAATGTATTGATTCTCTGTTCTAGAAAAGCCCGATGTTACATTCGTTATGAAGGACGAAGATGTTGTCGATTTAATATCTGGAAAACTCAATCCTCAAAAAGCCTTCTTCCAAGGTAAAATAAAAATTCAAGGCAACATGGGATTAGCTATGAAACTGACTGAACTTCAAAAGAGAGCAAGCGGAAAAATTGAAGCTCTTAAATCTAAATTATAATTCTTTTAGGAATTAAAATGCACTATTTTAAAAATTAAATATAGAGTTTATATCATTTTTATACAATTGTGTTTATATATTATCTACAAATGTTTATTTTTTTAGAGTTAGTAAAAAAATTGTTTTATAGTTTATTAAGGTCATTGGTGTTACGGTAATGTTACAATAAAATGCAAAGTATGTAATATTATTCTTTTTGTTTTGTTGTCACCTTTTAAATTAAACTGTTTAAAATTTTTAACTTAGACATCCCTCCATAATTTCATGTTCTGTCACCAAAAATGTAAAAATTTAAATGTATATTTGTTTCCTGTACATAAATTATAAACAGTGTTATTCAAATTGTACTTAATGATGATGCTATAAAATCATGTGTTTCAAGAATATAATCAATGCTGGCAGTTGGTTTGTTCCCGGGTTAAGGCGAGGAGGTGCTTGGGCCATCATTGTTTGAGATGACATGGAGGGTTTTTGGGTGGGAAGTGTGGAGAGGGCTTGAGTGGAAGGGTTAGGATATAAACAAAATGCACGCAGAAAAATAAAGCAACATTACAACAACAGACACTAAATGAACCACATTCAAATGCACAGGGAAAGAAACTAACACATCGATTTAACGTATTATTAATCATTAAACCAATACTGAAGGCCATGAACACAATTGGATAACAAGACACAAAAAAAACTGATGACAAAAATGGCATGTACTCCTTAACAAGCGAATGCGGAAAAAAATACATTGGATAGAAAGGACAAAAAATAAAAGCCGGATAGGGATAGTGATAAGATTTCCTTCTGCATCTCAGTCTGAGTAGACCTATTGTGCACCCCTGTTTTTTATAACTTACTGGCCAGCTTCAGGTTGTTAATCAGCCTCCATAGCCTTGCCAGCGGATCCTTAGTTTAGGATCTTGCTTGTGGCTTTTCCTGTCCTAGTTGCAAGAAAATGCACCTACTTAGACCTCAAAAACAAAAATGTGTTTTGCATTGTCCTCCTATTCCTGCAGTATCTACAGTGTTTCTTCTGTCTGTACTTCTATCCGGTGCATGTGCTTTCTTAAGTAGCAGAGTCCAACCAGAATCCTGGTTTGGTGTCATTGGCTTCCAATATTCTTTTGTAAGTTTTATGGTCCTTCTATGAATTTCTCTGCATGCCTCATACCTGTGGTATTATTCCACGAGGTTTTGGACTAATTAAGGATCCATTTTGAGATTAACCTCTTTTGTGGCATGAGTAGGACACAGTAGGATTCAGGGCCTAGAAAGTCCATGTTGGCTCTCTTTGACCAAGTCAGCTTTTTCGTTGCTTCTATGCCTCGAATGCCCAGGGACCCATGCCAGGATCAGGTCATTGGTGACGCTGATTTCCGCCAGGGCTTTGATGCAGGACCAAACATTGCTTTCACTGTATTTGTAGCCTTTGTATTTCCCTGGTGCAGTGTTAGGAAATGTTAGCAGTGTGAAATCGTTATGATTTCAGACTGGAAAACTGTAGCATATTTACCTAAGTGTACCATCAGTGCGGTCTTTGGATTCATCCCGAAGACTCCAGCCCCCATGCCCTTATCGGTTTTGGAGCCATCAGTGTACCACTATGAGTTGGCCTTTAGCGATGTTCCTTGGTTCATTCAACCCATTCTGGAATCAGTACCTTGTACTTTTTAGTAAAATTGTATTTTGGAGTAGTGGCATCAATTGGCATACCTAATATGGCATCTGCCTGTATCTCCTCTCTCAGTTTCCATTGTTTAGTTACATGATCTACCCTTGCAGATGGTTGTCCATTTATGAGCCTATGGATTGCTTCTCTGGCTTCTCCTTGGATTGAAATATGAAATAGTGGGAGGTTTAACAACACCTCCAGAGCTACATTTGACATTGTGTTCAAGGCTGCATTGACACTGAAACAAGCTTGTCTTTGGGTGCCACTTAATAACCTGATTGCTTTGGCCTGAAGACACACCACCAATCCATATGTCATTGGTCTTAAGACGCAGGTGTATAGTCTAGGGAGCAGCGTCGTCCACAGTAGAGGTGAGAGACCCCCCCCTTGTGGGCATCCCCTGGCTGTTTTAGCCCATATGGTCATACCACCCAAGGTGGATGTGATTATCCTGTTCCTTAAGCCTTCTTCCACCCATTGGCATATCTTTTCCAAGACTTCCCTGTTTTTGATTGGTTTATATAGAGAGGCTGTGGTTGCATTGTTATAAGCTCCCTCTATATCCATAAAAAATGTAACAACTATCTCCTTGTTGTTTATGAACTTGGTTAGGCATTTACACAGGTCATCCAGGGATAGCTCTGTGGATCTCCATGGGACAGATACAAAGAACTCCATTCTTCAAAATTATGGAAGCAGTCGACAATGAAACCCCTAAATAAAATTCCTGATCCCGTCATACCTGATGATTTCCACCCAAGGCCCATTACTTCTGGAGGCCCTTTATGATAAACTACCTATACTTTTCTTTTTTGTTGCTACATTAACGACTCCAGAAAATATTGCTCCTATCATCTCTATGCAGACAACAACCAAATTTACCTTTCCACTTACTGACTTACAAACTGCAATTTTAAGAATTCAGGAGGACTTAAATTCAAGTATTTCTTGGACCTCTAAAAATGGGTTTAACCTTAATGTTGAGAAGTCCAAGCTATTGTGTTTGGATCAAGTCCTCCAATCATTTTCTTTTATCCCCATTAACAACCTTATTTCTTCTGTCCCACTGCCAAGAACTTTTGTATTGTCCTTGGTCAGACCTTATCTCCCACATATTACCCCGATCTCTGCTGCTTTTCTTCTATCAGTTTTGTCATGCCAACCTCCCTCTCCCCATAAACACCTAGTCTTTTTTTCTCACCAACTTTGACTAAGGATGTGATGTGTACAGGGAGATTCACTAGAGAGCTGTATGATAGACTTAAGCACCTAATTAATTGTTCTATAAACTTTATTTTCGGCTCCCCAAGGAGGTTCCACATGACAGATATGTGCTTGAAGTGGTTCTAACCTTGGTTCCTTCTAAATGGTATTTCATTATTTCCCACTCCCCTCCCTATATACATGATCTCCTAATCTATCTTTGGTACATTACCGTCATACTTATTCACACCCTTCTGATTTCTACCCCCCTGTCGATTGGAGTCATTCCTTCCTCATTCGTTCATCCAACCTCTGGAATTCCCGTTCTCATCCACCAGACTCTTTCTCTTTCCACCTTAAGTCCTGTCTATTTGATTACCAGTCATTGCAACGTTGCCTTAATTGGTAAATTATTTGTATTATTAAACTTAATTGTCCATTTTATTTATTACAGTACTTTTTTAGTTTGAGTTTATAATGTATATATTTTGTAAACGGGCCCTTTTATTTTTGTGTTGAGCACGAATCTAGATTGACTCTATTGTATAGTTTTGTTATTCAAGGGGGCTTCAACCCCAGAATAAATGTTATTGTTTCTGGCTTGGTGGAAGTGTACCTGGGTTTTGGTAACTGCTGCACACATACCAAAACTAGACAAAAAATTGTCGAAGTGAAGAGAATTGAGCTTACCGCACCCTTGTGCATTATGCCAACAGTCCTTCTGGTTGAGGTGGATGCACAGTCTAAGTCACGGTTCTCCCTTTTATACGTTTTACATTCAACTTCCACTTCATCCGCTACACAATTCCTAGGGCTGCGTCAGAAAGGGTAAAAGTGTGGTCCACTGATTATAGTGTTTCAATTTTTTCAACTTTTCTAATCTAATTTTCTTTTCAGTTTATGCTTTATTTGAATTATTTACATATTTTGTTTGATTACAAAATTACGGAAAAATTATTGTAGAAAGTAGAAACAACTTTTATTCAACTACACGCCCAAATTGAACAAATGCTTCTGGTTGCCTAATTAATCTACTTGCTGCTCAGAGGGACGCATATATTTTATATCCCTTAGATGTATAATAAAAAAAATCGTTTACATTATTTGTAAGTACCAGTTATTTTACATGATAAAATGGGTTCCGCCACGGCCAAGCATAAGACGCAGTGTGTTAATAAGAAAACATCATTCATTGGAAAAAGTGAAAACTGAAGACTTTTTTCAAATCAAAATCCGAGTGGTTCTTAAACCAGGGAATTGAGCAGCTGGGCTCTAGATGGCCATTATTCACCATCGAGTACATTGGGCTATATTTCCATCATAAAAAAGCCTTTTTTCTTGCTTGCTCCTATACCAATGAAGTAATTTCATTGTAACAGTACAACTATGTAAAACCTAAATTTATTAGGATGGTACTTGGAATGAAAGAACAAATACCTGAGAAAATTTTTATTTAAAATATGGTATTCCAACATTTTTAGTTATTCGGGCAAATTCACTGTCTAGCCTAATGTAGTTAACAATATGTTACTTTCTTGTCGTGTCCAGTTCTTTTCCATCCTTTTGTAGGTCCAACAAATGTTTCACATTTTTGTATGCCTTCTTCCTATTTAGGAATTAATTTTGCTTTTTTATTATTTTTATTCCAATTTTACACTGAGTTATCAACAACAGATCAGAGTTGTTAATCGATACACATTTTTTTTAGATTGATTTTCATTATTAGAGACTTTGTCTTTTTCTTGTATTATTGTTTCAGTCTTATAAATTGTACTATGTTGTTAAACATTTGAGGCATTTCTTTTAAATGTTCAAAAATGCTAGGATAGAAAAAATGTGTTTACAAGTTTCTTAAATTTATTCCAAAATACACATGCTACAAAAGAAAACAACAATAAAAAAATAAATAAGAGGATTCATTTGGGAATATATTTAATTAAAGAAATAAAAATAAAAAAAGGTTTATTTTTAAGTGAAACACTATCATTTTACAATAACGATTAATATACTTAGATAGTGGAAATAATCATTAAAAAAACTGTAATCAGCTTGATAAATCAACATGTTGAAAATTCAGGGCCAACAGAATTATCCAGGTAGAGGTGTAGTAGATATTTAAAATTTTTCTAGATCAATGGCTTTTTTTGATCCTGTTCTAGGGCAAATTTGAGGTTTGAGATGTATCTAATAACTTAGACATTTTAACCATTTTTTTACGTCAAAAAAATGAATATTGAAAACAATGTCATAGTATTCATAATCACAAAATAATTAAAATGACCAATTGCATAGTATTGAATAGTAGAACATCTACTACACTAATACCATATCAAAGCAGCCTTACAGACATCTTTGTAAATAATGCAAAATGGCCAATAAGGTTATAAAATCCTCAGAGTAATTTTATCATATTTTTTGTTTGTTTTTGCTTGCATTCAAATACTTACATTAAAAATATATGCACACAAAAAAATATATACATATTCAATTATGTATACATTTTTGAACTTCTTATTTATAACCTATAACTTCGATATTTACAACTTGATACAGATTTACATTTTGACTTGGTCAATTCTGGAGCTGATTGTCAATTGGATTGGCTATCCACTTTCATTCGTTTCTGAGCGTTTCCAAGCTGAGAGTTTGTCGATCTTACCTGACCTCTTTGTTGGCTGAGAACATCTGAAAAATGAATACATAGACGGAAGTGTTTTAAATGCTGCTACGGGCAATTTGTTATTTAGTGCTCCCAAATATAAGGTAGTAGATTTAATGAAAATTTTTTTTTTAGCTACCTTGAATCCACCTAACTTGGGTGGCCGGTCCATAGCCATATTCATTTTTGGCTGATATCCTAAATATGATAGCAGGTTTTTCAATGTCTTCAAAAGTCGCTTCTTCCAGTGTGGCATGAGGAATTGATGTTTGGGTTTGCGTTCCAGTGTATACTTTAACGAACCCAAGTTGAGACTAACAGAAAACAAGATTTTGTCATATGGAATAAAACAGTAATATTATGTGTATATAGCTGGAAAAAGTTTACTTACAGTACCGACCGACTGGTGTTTCATTGCTAAACAAACTGTATATGCAATCACCGGAGCGCCTTTTGTTGGTGCAGACCATGATATAATAGCTCCTTCAGAAGTTTTGGCAATTTTTATAGACGATGGTGCATCAGGTAGTAACTGCTCTTTCTTTTTCAAAGGTGGATCCTAGTAAAATTTAAACACAATAAACTTAAAACATTATTTAAACAGCAATATAACATTATTGAGATAAAATGACAAAAAGGAGGGAAAATTCAAAAGGTGTGATTGAGATGGGAAGTTAGTGTCCGAGTGGATCGAGGTCACAATAGCTCAAGTGGTAGAGCAGCGGCGTATCTAGCCGAAGATCGTGGGTTCGAATCCCGCTCGTGCCATTGACTATTTTATCTCAACTAAAAACCTTAATTAATTGTAACATATTAATTGGTCAAGCGGACCACGAAACTAGTGAAAATAAACAAACTTTTACCACTATATACAAGCATTGTTTTTTTAAACAACATTAGAAAAGGATGGCAACAGTACATGGAACTTAATGAAGTTTAGAACGAGCCTGGGGTAAGTGGAGATGAGGGCTCTGCCTACTTAATATTTGTTCAAGTTGTTGTTACTTAACACTTGGATAATTTCCATTAAAAAAATTAATTTTCTACGAAAGACTAAAATTAATTGAAATTGTAAAAATGTATCAATGAGAAAAAAAAAATGATTTGCCATAACTATTTTGAACTGGAATATTCTGATAAGTAAGTGCAAAAACTACACAAATGAACTACATAGAGAAGTTAACATGCATAAATGGCGCAAAAACATAATTATTTTAAACTTTTACTTTAAATAATGTAATTACTTTAAACATAAATAACGTGACAGTAGAAAGTTCAACTTAGAATTCAAGTTACAAATTAATCAATTTTATTAATTACCGTTAAAATAGACATACATGATACATAAGCTGATTTTTAAAACCAAAACCACCGCAATTTCAAAGAAGGTATACAGAAACATATATTTCAAACAATTATTATTATTATATTCAGAGGTAGTTTAGTGATACAGAACCACAACTAAAAGCAAACATTAATGTAAAATAAAAGTAGTTTATTAATTATTCTTTTATCTAAGGCCTTGGTAGAGATGAAAAAGTTATCGCCACGAGTGGGATTTGAACCCACGATCTTCAGCCAAATATGCTCTAACCACTTGAGGTATCGTAACTTCGATCCACTCAGACACAACTGACCTTTCGAATTTTCTCTCTTTTTGCCATTTTTCAAATGTTGTGTAATCAGGGTTCGATTCCCTGCGACTTATTAAGTGGCTCCAAGAAACTGTTAGTGAAGTGATTACTTCTTTAATTATTATATTAATCCATGCATGTTTAGCGGTCATAATTTACCATATTAATTATTTCACTTAATTATTCTTTTTATCTAAGGTCTTGGTTCAAAGACATAATAGATTAAGTGGTTAGAGCAGCGGCGCATTTAGCCAAAGATCGTGGGTTCAAATCCTGCTCGTGACACTAACTTTTTCATCTCAACCAAGACCTTACATAAAGAATAATTAATAAAAATAATTAATATCGTCAATTATGATCACTAAACATACATCGATTATGTAGGTTTTAAAATGAAAATATTCGCTGATATGCAAGAAGGGAAGGAAACCTTCAAGATAAACACTAATTCTGACCTCTTTTGGGGGTAACACATTTTTTTCTGATTCCTCTGGTTCTTGTGTTGTCGATGTGGGCTCTATATCATCCGGTTGAGAACCAGTAGTTGTATGAGGAGGGGAAGATGAAGGAATCAATGATGCTGAAGCCACGGCCGGAGTTGAACTTGCGGCTTCATGGCCAGAACTTTCTATGGCAGACTGTGTGATTCCTGTATCTAAATGGAAAAATCACGTTTAATATTTAAAAAAAAAATGAAAGTATTTATTACTAAATTGAAATAAGAAATTATTACTTTTATCGCATTTGTTAAGCAAATACAGAACACTTTTAAGTAAATTGTCAAATAGTAAATTGATTTCATTTAAAAGATTTTACAATATAGTTTCAATCCAGAAGCCAAAAGTGAGTTATAATGATAGAAAACCAGAAAAAAGAATAACACAACTATCAGATTTTCAACCTTTCAGCTTGTGCACATCTGCAGTGGATGTATCAGCAACGTTCCGCGTCAGAAAACTTGAATCCACAGACGATGAGTGATCGCTGTCTTGCTTCAGTAATGAATCATTGGGGGAATCAATAAATCCTGCTTCTGCAGCTAAAGCAGTTAACGCAGCATCTGATGTTGGGCCGACTGTAGAACCTATACAAAAGAAAAAATTGACATTACTGCAAAATTGAAGAATAAAATTATTATAATAATACTGTTGAACAATTTAAATAAGATTAATTCATTAATTAATATTGTTATTAGAACATTCAAATCCTTAACATGATAAATTCAACTTACTAATCGACTGATCTTTAGTGTTCAAACTTGAACTGGTAGGTTGCTTTGTAGATAAATATACAACCCTACTACTATTAACAGTGTTTGTAGATGAAGTAGCCTCAGCACTGCTCGTCCATAGAGTAGCATTATTTGGAAGAAGTGTCATTGTTTTTTCACCCATTTGGACACGTAGGTTTTTAAGACCCTGCAAACCAAAACAAAAAGATTATGTATTATATATGTTACAGTGATATTTATTAGGGCAATCAGTCATTTTATTAACTTGTAAAAAAGGTAAAATTAAAAATGTATATGCAATAAAACTTATTATTTAATTTAGACCCCGCCCTGAGGAATATCAAGTACTGGAGTATGTGGCATATGGAGAGTAAAAGTTAGTTAATTGAGTGGGTTTAATCCTGCCCAAGGAATAAGGTTTTAAAATTTTAATGTTTGTATAATGTGGTGATGTATATATATGTACTGTATGTTCGATGTGTATTCTGCAGTTGATGATCTGAGGTAGAAACGAGGCTGGAATTTTAGGTTATTGACGTAGTATACATATCAAAGTAGAGTCAGTGACCAGATCGAGACGTTTAAATGGCTGCAGGTTGAAAAATACAGGTGAAAAACCAGAAAAAGAAGTAAGTAGAGGGCTGGCAAAGATTTCAGCTGTTTGTAGGACCCTAAATTTCTCATTATATGTATATATTTAATTTTATATGTTCTGTGTGACAATATGGTGGTTTTGCTTAATAATTAGATTGCTAAAAATAAAGAAGTAATATATTTAATTTAGTTCTTACTGGTGAAGTAGCTTGCTGAAGAATGTGAGAAGTCGATCCTAAAGCTGCTTTTCCTGTTATTGTCAACGTTTTATTGCCACCAGCTCCAGGAACTGTTATTGTGATTGGTTTACCAGATCCAGAATTGCCAGACATCATGACCATACGAACCCCTGAAAATAATAAAAAATCAAATTTTGATTTAGTATGAGGTTTGTTCATGAGAGAAAGTAGAGAGCGTCAATCCACCAAATAAAAACAATTTAACCCTTTTTCCCAAATTATTCAATAAGATTGTTCATGCACATATAGATACGATACAGTTATATACCTTGCATTGCTACCTTGTGTTGAATGTTGGTTAATAGATTAAAAAAAGCATATACACCTTAATATATAAGAAAATATATCACACCACATGCACGGGGATTGCATTCTTTAGGCCTCACGTCCACTAGGAGCGGAAATCAGCGAAAAGTTCCAAATTCAAGTTCGGAATAGTCATGAAAAGAAGCAAATGAACCAAAAAGTGTCGATGAGTCAACCCTCGTCCATTGGGCTCAATTTGGTAGTCAGAAATGTTTCGTGAAGTCATGAGAAGAAAACGGAAGATCTTTTCTGTGAACTGGTGTGAACAAACCCTTACTAGACCACTATGGACTTTGACAAAATAATTCGGTTTCAAGAGTGGCTATATTTATGGGATGAAAGAGAAATATTGTTTACCTTCCATTTGTTGCTAAGACTAAATAGACAAATCTTTGTATCTACGCACAAAAAAATTAGGTACTGTTTATAGAACCATTCTTGACAAAATGTTTTTTATTATTTATTACATCTATAATATTTCTTTTTAAATATAAAATATTTCCAAGGAAAAAGATTCTAGAATGAAGACAGAGATTATCAGTTTCTTATGAGCTTACTGTCATATTTCCATGAGATCTCCAAAGAAACTGGATATATGCACTAAGATAATGGGTGTATTAATGGATGAATTACACTAATGTGCTAATAGTAAATAATAGAAAAATAGAAAACTTTTTTGTTACTTATTAATTTCTCTTTAAATTTTATTTTACCAATTTGCTCAATGCATGAACTAAATTAACAGTAAAAAAAAATGGATACAACATTACGGGTAAAATATATTTTATATATATATATAAATTGCAAATTGAGCAATTTTGCTAGTAACTTATTGTACTGTAACCGCCAGCCGTTCTTGAGGTAAATTTGTCTCTTGAAAATTGCTGCTTTTTTTTCCCAATGTAGAAGATATTTATTTTTTCAAAATTGTAACTAAATGTGTTCCGGTTCATTAGGAAATACCGAAAGTGGCGTTCCTCATCATTTTGTAGATCACTCCATAAGTGAGTAAATTCATTTTTTTTAAAATAAGTACTATTTATTCCACATTTTCTGTTTTGTCTGTTTTTTTGTTTTGTTTTTTAAATAATAAATACTATTTATCCACATTTTCTCTATTCTGTGTCTTTGGTGTACATGGCGGAGCAACAAAGGTGATTCTAAAGCTATCAATTCAGAAGTCTTCTACAATAACCTCCTCCATATTGTCAGTACAAAATACGTACGAATATTGTGCTACAAGGAATGCATGCACCATTTCACATGTGGATTCGCACGAAAGCATTCTACAGTTCACAGCTTGCTGCTCCCAGTACACACGAGGCCTTAGTCGTTCTGTTGCTTAATTAGGAAAAAACATGCCTGAGTGATAGCGGACAGGAATGATGATTTCAGCAAATGGGAAATGGTGGCTTCTTTTCAGTATGTCTTATCAACAGCATAATGAACTGAGTAAATTGCTCGAAGCAGGAACGTTAAAAACATAATCTATTAGCATGATGTGTTTTGTCAAAAGCAGGAGCGATTTTGCAGGAAGAACAGCTACGTGAATTCTAAGCAGAAATAGGATGTGCAGAAAAGGCAAAATCATATCCTTCTTCGTCTCTCTTATGTAAAAACAAATTTTGCTTTCAAATCAGATCCTTCATGTAGACTGCATGTAGACAGTAGGGTATCTTTCAGCATCTGAGTTTGCATAGTATATTTTGTTTTACAAGAAGATAAATCGATGTAAAACGCAGTAAGTAATCATTGGCATGCTCTTACCCTTACACCATTCAAGCAGATTGAATATTTGAACTATTAAACTAACCATAACCTTGTTAATTTTTAGTCACCTTTGCCTTTTGAAATTAGAAAATGGGTTGAATTCAATTGGCTGTTGTAAGTTAGGTTATTGATTTACCTTTTTCACTTGTACTTTGTGTTGTAGTCATTGTTGGGATGGTCCTAATAGGTGCACCAGTGGTTACAACAATATACTGTTGTCCTGGCATTCTTAGTCCACCCGGTTTGTTAATGATAATAGTTTGTTGTTTATTTCCTTGAGTTGCAGGTTTGTTGACTACCATATTTGATGGTATTGTTTTCATTGTAGTTAACATTTTTGCATTACCAGCTGGAAAAATTTATCAAAGTGAATTTTTTCCAAAGAATATACCTTACAGGATGATGAACCTAATAAAAACTGGTTTATTAAAATCTAAAATAAAAATATAATGTTAAAAACATTAAATTTGGATTAATTTGTTTTGTTAAGTGCAGAAGGGTTTGTTATTCGGCTTGACTATTTGTAGCTGGCATGAACATTTGTTTTACCTTTGTCGAAATAATTAATTGTACAGATATTAAATTTTCTTAATAGCACTACAATGATAAACCAACGTAATAGTGAAAACTTATGTTTATATGTATAAATCGGAGTCATGACTTTTTATACTAAAATTTGATACTCTTTATAAATCTAAATCATTCTTTAAAGATATATGTATTTGAAAATATTACAATAGGTACTATTATAATTACATATACCTATTTTTATAACTAATATTAGAAAATTCTTTATTGCTATATAACATTGAATGCATATGCTGTATGTTTTAACAGTATCAAAATTTCTGTAGTTAAATCAAATGTAAATATCTTCTTTTTTCCTTACAAACGACATACAACCGAAAAATATAAGAAGGTTTCACATGTTCCTGTTATTATGTATTTATGTATCACTAAAAAATAATTCTGAGCTTGAAATTTCCTGTAAAAGAAGTATATATTGTTATATTCAAATGAAGTATTATTACTTTTCTTTCTGAATAATAATACAATTTCAGTCCAAACATATGGTTTGTTATGCCTTTTATTATTAATAAAGCATATTTAATTTTTACAAAGCTGATTTTTCATAGTATTAATCCTTTTGGATTATAAATAACTTTAAAAAAAAAATCAGCTTGATTTAGAAAAAAAAAGTAGTACAAAGAAATTGTAATTACCTTGATTTGGTGTCACCAACTTCACAATGGTTGCCCCTTGTGGGATTCCTTTAGCCGATGTTGTCACATTTGTTCCTGGCTTGCTCTGAATTAAACTTACTTTCGGCATCTAAAAAATATAGTTTGATAAATTTAGATATTACAAAATTTTTTATTTTATAAATTGCTGAAACACAATTCTTACCGCAACCGTCATGCCTTGACTTGTTTTCACTAATGTTACAATTTGTGTTGGGCCTTGAGTTGGTGGCTTTTGAACCAATATTTGTGATTTTGAACCAGTTGAAGTTCGAATAAGAGAAGAAGGTGCGGAAACACGAACAGAAGAATGTATTGGAGACCGAACTCCGATGGTTGCTGAAATTTTCATAAATACAATTATACAAATATAACAAATTATGCTAATAAAAACTGGGAAAAAATAAAATAAATAAATTTATTAATTTACAAAAATTAGATAATAGGTTTGTGCCATTTCACGTCCAAACCAACAATAAACTGGTGAGTGCATGTGTAGTAGAATTTGGGCATTCCAACTCGTTACGAATGCAAACTCAACCTGTCAAACAGCAGCTCCAACAGTGTTTTTAACCAAGTTTGTAATCAGTTTTTGACTATCAAAACAGCTCAAGGATTTTAATATGTATTGACCTTCAGAGACATAAATAGATGTTTCACTATCGTCAAATTGGAAATTTCTTACTTATAACTAGAACCCAGATTTATATACAATAAAATTCCTCAAATATGCAATTAATTTCTTCTAAAAATACCTGGCTAATAATTGAATAATTTCTTTTTAACAAACTTTTTTTTGGGTCAAGTATATCTATATTCTTTTCAAAAGGAAGTAAAACAGAAAAAATTCACCCACCCAAAAGCTCATCACTAGATAACACCTATTTCCTTCCACAACCAGCCTATTTCACAAAAATTAATTTTTCAGGAAAGATTTAAAAAAATTCACCCAGAAGTTTTGGAAATAAGATGCCAATTATTTAAAGATAATTTTATTATATCGGTTTGTTTACATAAATAAAATAATCAATAAAGTAAAATAATAATAACACTTTCAAATTGGGAATATTCTTTCATTATGCAATTTTATGCATTATTCTTCAAATAACCTGAAATTGACTTCAAATATGAAAGGGTAGACTAATGAAACTCAGATTTGTTATCGCAGCCTCTTTGACTCAATTTTGGGTTCGAACCCATTTGAACTGAACATAAGCAGGATTACTCTTTTGCAAACTAAAAACTGTGACCCTCTTGTTTCCCCGTTATCGTATATGTAAGATATAAATGCCTTATAAACATCTGGTATCTGGTAGCGGGAATCAGTCTGAATTTTGGGGTATACCAAATAAACAGTTCTCCGGATCCTAATCGAGAAGGGTGGAAGCAGCAGCCTTACAAGCCATACAGAAGGCACCATTTGACTGTAGGACTCCAAGATGGGGAAAAAAGCATTCCAACAGAGTTAAGAATCCCTGATCAGGAATGTTTGAGGCATGCACAATTAATAAATCATGGATTAGTGGTAACTAGTTTATGATCGTGTGTTGGAACAAACCTATTTTATTTGTCATATTAAATTTTAATTTGTTTAAATGAAAAAGTGACACATTTCTAACAAATCAGAATGATGTTCCTTGAATTGATCTTTGACTTTGATTTTTGACAGACCTATTCCAATAAGTTTGGAGGGGAAAAATGATTTATAAATGTCTAGACAGTGTTGCCAAACTATTCAAATGCATTGTAATCACTTTTTTAAATAGGTTTATTTATTTTAATTTTAATATCTGATTCATGTAATGAAAAGTGATGTTAGCTTACATGGAGTAGTAGTTGGTGTTGGTTTCTGCACTGGACGTGTCACAGGCCTTACCAAAGGTCTAATACCAAGTGGTCTCATAACTGGCCTTACTACAGGTCTAGTTGTAGCAGCACTGGAGGATACCGGAACTTTTGGTGCAGCATTTGGAGTTTTGGCTACTGGCAACTTATTAGCCGGTCTTGGTTTTGAAACTGGAGGTACCGTATATCTAATAACACAACTTTCATTAGTTTAAATCTTGAATGGTCAAGCTTTTTTTTAATCACCAAAAAGTACACTATGGAAAAGAATTACAGAGTGCATTAATTAAACTTACTTTTGTATCTGAAGCAAATATGCCTCCGCAGTGGGGACAGAATTCCAGCAGACTTCTAAGAGTTGTGTACTTGCTTTTATCAGCTGGACTTTCCCTCCAGGTGCAGGCTTATCAACCTCGAGATACCACAAATCTTTGCAACAAACCTGTAACATTGTTTAAAATTAAAATATTAATAAGAAAAAAAATCATTCTATCATCCACGAATAAAATATAGTAAGAATGATACTTTATTACAATACATGCAATAGTAGTAATAATAAAAATAATAATAATACTATAAAAATAATAAATAAAAGTAATAAAAAATACAGAATGAATGTAGTCAGTTTTTGGAGTGCGTGTTACCTGGTTGTTCCAAGCCTTTCTATATCCATCTCTTCCAGACCAGATATATATTCTGCAATGGACAACAATTGCACAATGACCTGCTCTTGCACGAGGCATATTTTCCTCAGTTGAATCCATGGTTATGTCCTCCCATTCCATAGTACCTGTACAATATAATAAAATATTAATTAATATACAAATATTGTCTGACTTTTATTTAAACCATTCCTACTTAGGTTAAGACAAGCCAGTTGATTGGTACATTTCCATTCTTTTTCGTGTGTTGCTACTTTCAAATCATCAAGGACAAGTGGAACCCACCCGCCAAAAACATACATCCTGTTTCCAATAATTGATGCAGTGTGCAATGATCGAGGAAGAGGGGCAGGACCAAACACTTCTGGTCGACTCCAAGTCATTGTTCCTTAATATTGTAATTTAAAAAATACATTAACATCCTACCAAATAACAATAGATAATTTGCCCTAGAAATTTACCGATATCAAGTATCCAAAGGTCACCAAGCCTGCATCCTGACATGCCACCATAGATAATAAGTTTTGAATTGCCTTGAGCATCTTTGTAAGCCACGGCAGTATGTGATTCCCTCGGTGGTGGTGGGGTTCCATACGTATGTGGCATTTCCCAAACAACTGTATTCCCCTTTAGCTCTAGGGTATATAAATCATTTAAATACCTTACTGACACTGCACTGTAAATTAAATTCTCAATTAACACTACAATTGTAATAAGCATATATTTATTTACATGCAAAAAATGTTACCTTGGAGGGTTTGCTTTAGGGTCATCAGAGCAATCATTTGCCAATCCTCCAAAAAGAAACACCTTTTTGTCAATTAATGTAAAACTGTGACCCAAGCGAGGGCATGGGGGTGGTGAAAAACGTGGAGCACGTGGACGAAGCCGTTTCCACTCCCACCTACTAGCCTGAAAAATTGTATGCGATTAAACAAATAAAACTACAAACTATAAAAATAAAATTTAATTTTCTAATTACCTGAAGTTCATAAAGTTCATTAGAATATTTTCCATATTCAACCATACCCCCAAAGACTAAAATACGGGTGTTGTCCACAACAAAACCATAAGCTGCACACCCTGGGGGTATGTCCCCCTTCATAGTTGGTATAAACCATTGATTTGTGGCTGCAAAAACAAAACAAAAAATCTCATGTTATTTAACATGTAAGTGGGTTGCATCAGCTTTATAAAGAAACATGAATAAGAATGGCTACTAGTCACTAAATATATATGCTTCCAATAGAAATGACTCATGTTAGTTTCATTACAATAATCATTGATGATTTGATTCCCATGAGCTTTGATTTAAAAATCTAAAAATTTAAAAAAAATTAAATTAAAATAGTATAACATCCTCAATGAACATTTAATTCTTGGACCGGTTTCGGGCTCTTATGTTGCCTCTTCCTACACAATAAATCCATATAATTATTAAAACTTTAAACAAATTTAAATCACACATTTTTTTGTGCCTTTACTGAACATCATGGGACATAACTACCAATCTCACAGGATGATAGACTGAACATTCGCGAATTTGACATTCGTGTCACAATTTTCTGAAATGTTAAGCGATTACTTAACAAAATGTATATATTCCAAAAAAGTATATTTACACACACCTTTGCATATGTATATACATATGTAGAATATTTTATTAATTATGTCAACAGGTAGCAATTGACATTGTTTGCTTTATACAATGTAATCTTGTAATTTGTACAAGGTTATGATTTGTGATAAAAACCAATTCACATTAAAAGTTTTAATTATACCCCTCTTCAAAAGGCTATTGTTAGAAATGTAATTTCAAGGAGAAACACTTTGGAAAAATGGTTATTTTGTACAAAAACATGGATAAGACTGTATAAATTTAAGATACACAAGGGACCAGGGAAGACAACAAATTTGGCTTGCAAAATTGATAATGAAAAGTAGAAAAATATAGTGAATGATATAAACTGATATAGTCTTTACTGCCTAGATTTATTTATTTATTTTTTTTTTAAACCATCTTCATTGTATGTATTATTTTAAAATAAAACAGAAAAATCACAGACATATCACATATTAAGTTGTTATAGTATAAAATTACTATTGGATTGGTAATACTTCATACTCTCTAACTTAATGAGTTTAAAAAATTGATACATTTTTATTTACAATTTAATGATTTAAAATTCAAATTGGATTCAAAAGTTGAATCCACAATGAAAACATTCAGAATTTGTATAATGTAATGGCATTATATATAAGTTATAAGAAATTTTAGCATAAAAATTGCTGTCAAACTTTCTATTATAACATTTTCTTTGGCTTCATATGCAACCAAATGATTGCTTGTTATTTTCATTTCCTGCAGTTGTATGTGTATGGGGTGGGGAACAATAATTACGTATGAATAAGCTATTTTTGTAGATTTGTTGAATGTATGGTAGTTAAAGTGCACACAATTATTATTAACTAATCACTTCAAATATCTATAGACTTCATATATATTGCATATAGCAACCTAAGTAAATTCTAATTAAACTTTTACAACAAAAAACATTCGTCGCATATTAAGCTTCGTGATGAACCGAATGACGCCCTCCAGTGACTACGCTGTTAAAGGTGGAGTAGAATTTGAAGCCATTATTTTCTAACTGGGTAGATTTTGCCAAAAGAAATAGAACCAGCGCTTAAATTTCTTTCAGCAAAAAAAACTAAGTTACAAATATGGTCAAACCTCTTCGATATGCGTGAAGTCACATTTTTCTCACTGAAAAAGTTCTGTAAATATAATTTAATGAATTAAATGAAAATTAAGGAAGAAGAAAAATTAGTACAGTATTAAATTGAAAAACTGATCCTCAATAAATTATACAATACTGAAATTATAGGGTACCACTATTACAATGATTTTTTTTAACTTTTAAAAGTGTACAACTGTTAATTTGCTCATTTCACTTTTTCAGAATTGTTAGAAGCTAGCTTTGTTTTAAAATATATTTATTAAAATTTTTCAATGCAATGTATCACTTTGTACATATATATACTTAATGAAGCAAAAATATATTTACAAAAACTCTTTTACTATCAATAAAATAAACAATTTAATTTTTTTTATAGTTATTTATCATCTTGGTCTGCATATCCTCACTTATTCTTGTTGGTTCAGACGTGTTTTGGCATTTCACCAACTTCGGTACCAAAAAGAGTATGAACCAAGATGAATCAGCGAGGATAGGCAGCCCAAGGTGATAGGTAACTTCAAACTATCGGTTTATCATGCCACAGACTACAAGAGGAAATCTCACAATATAATTTTTTTTAAATTAAACCTAACTCATGAAATAAACTCTTTGGAAAAAAAAAATGCATACAGTGAAACTTCCTTTAACAGACACCTCCCCAGAACGGACAAATTATGATTACAGTGTCTTCTTCTTCACTTCTTCATATTAAAATCTTCTATAAAACAGACACCCCAATAATATATGCAGGCAGCTATTTAGACTACATTCTGACTCTAAAACTCTCCTGGAAGCAGACAGCAGCCTTAAATTAACATTTTATGATAAATGCTGCATGTCCTGTGTTTTGTTTGCCTTCGACAATATCGTCTTTTTTATCTAATTCTTGGATTTTGAGGCGATAACATCAAATATGCCTCCCCACAAGAGTTCAAACTCACTTAAAGAAAATATTAACATAATTCAAGGGAGTGAATGTGAAACACTAAGTGACTTGGCTACAATTGAAAAGGCTACAAACCGTGATGCTGAGGGAATCGATTTAACAATGAAAATACATCCAAACATCAAAATGAAATTTTGAATACAAAAAAAGCACCTAATCAAAAATTGTACATTTAAAAAAGAAGTCATCGTTATCTTCATATATATTTTTTTATTAATATTACTTCATGTTTAATAAATCCCATTTTACAAGTAAATATGAATTTAATTTATCAATTGTGGCCCATCTTGTAATACTAAACATTTTTTTCACTCTTCTCCCAAAGGCGGACTCCTCTGTGGTGGATAATATTTCATTCCCCAAGAGTCTGTTATATGGAACTTCCACTGTACAACATACACTAACACTAATAATGCTAATAAGGATGTCATAAAACAAAAATAATTTTGTCTCAAGATTGTTCACATTTTTGAAAATAACATTTTCAATAAAGTATAAGGTCGATTATTTACACAAAACCGTTTAGACTGTGAAAAGAAAAACAAAAATGTACAATTAAAATGTTTGCTTAGTTTATACTAAATTAAAAGTTTATATAATTTTTTTTTTATTTACATACAAATTTTCAATGGAGCAATTTTTACAATAACTGATGAATTTGTTACACTAGTTAACAGTTTTGTATAATTCTTTTTCGAATGAACATATCCTGATTGACGTTTCGTACTATTTCTATTAGCATTTCTATCCTGATTGTTTTTATATTTAAGGGTTCATTAGTTTTCAATTTATTTACATTTACTTCCACCAACAATACGCTGACATTTTTGAGACCTAACAATTAAAAAATTGAAACTTACTCAATTTGTTCTAAGATATTTGTAATGTAATTTTTTACATAGTTACCATTAACTAGAACTTCTTGTCTCAATTGAAAATACAACAGGTAAAATAAATATTTTTATAGCCAAAATAGTTCATATAATGAATTATATAATATGATTACAATTTTCAAAGATCTTTTGTGTATATTTAAAGCAAAAAGTATTTAAAAAAAAAAGAAGGTAAATCATGTCCTTTGACAATGTTCAAATACTAAATCCTCTAGGGATTGCATATTACTGTACATAATAAAAAATGAATAAAGCATAAACGAGCAAAAAGTAAAAGGTAGTACCTTACACAAAGAATTAACATTGTTAACTTTAAAATAATAACATTCAGAGTGAGACTATTTCAACGTTAAAATTTACATCAACAATTCAGTGATTAACAAGCATGACTAAACCTTGGTAATAAATTTAAAAACCTAGTGTCAACATCGAATCAACAGTGAGGAATTACATGAAAATTAAGAAGTATGTGGATCAGTGATCAACTGTCACCTAAAGCAAACATTCTTATCAAAGACTGTTGTTTGTCTAGCTGGTATAGTGAATTTAGAAAAAAAACGGCATATCATACATAAAGATAAACAATAACAAAGTATTTAACAATCTGTTTATACAGAAATTTTTGGAATGTGCTTACAAAAGCACAAAAATCAGAAATTTGCCTGACCAGATGTCTAGTTGTAGAATAAAACAATGTTTGAATTTTTTGAAAATAAATTTTCTAACTAATCTTTAATAACAATTTTTATTTTTATGAAATAACTTTTTTATGATAGATTTGGGCAAATAAATAGTGAACTGCTTCAACCAATTTATTTATTGTTGCCGATGCATGTCGGGTCTAATCTGGCTCAACTCATCAGGGCTTGTCGGAGTAAAAATAAACGCCAAGTTTTTAGTATTTTGTGTAAAAGCCGATACCCAGTAACTGATTGAGACTCAAATGGTTGCAGGTTGAAAAATATTTGTGAAAGACCAGAAAAAAAAGTAAAACCGCGCAGAGGGCCGGCGATGACTTCAGCTATTTATCGGCCCCTTAAACTGCCCACATTTTAGTGTTATTATTATCATTTAGATTTGTTTTACTCTGAGCCCGAATAGGGAGCTAGACTGGCCCCGAAATCCATCGGCAACAATAAATAAATCAGTTGAAGCAGTTCGCTATTTATTTGTTCAAAATTATCGTCGAAAAAAAGAAAAGCGGAATAGTAATTTATAACATTTTTTTATTAATACATGTAATATTAATGAAATGATGACATACACTGATAAAATGATGATGATACAATACCATATGTATGTAACGAATGAAATTTAATTTAAAAAAATAAACACATAACACTACATAGCACCATACTAAAATAGTTATAACATTTATTTTATAATATATTTCTTTGAATCTTATGTAAATAACAATATATAACACAGTTCTCATTTAGCTTATACTGTGCGTGAATATTTCCAATCATTAAAGATGGCCAAATTTGGTTATTTATACAAGCAAAAAACAATATAATTTTTTCCCATGTAGAAATGTGGTCCAATTTTATA